CTGCTTGCATATACAGTCCGTATCGCCTATAAGGTTGGCGGATATAGTAATATACCGGATATAGTGATCAATTTCTCAAATTCATTTTCATTTGCCATAACTAAGTATACACAGTTATCGTGTATACAGTCAGACCTCGCTCATCCGGTCCTCTTTTATCCGGATCCCTCGCCATCCGGAAGAAAATAGCTGGTTACAGATTTACAGCATACGTGATGCATCCAACATAATCGGTGTTCAATTATCCGGTTCCCTCGCCTATCCGGATATTTTTGTGGGAAACGGATGTGTGCGGTTAAGCGAGGTCTGACTGTAGTAATAATCGTCTATAGTAATATATCGCCTATAGTGATCAAATTCATATTTCAAAAGACCTTTATTACATTATTTTTGCATCGGTTATAGTGATTGATGTAAAATCAAGCGATGCCAGAGGAGAACAGGGTGTTACTTCTTTGTGAAAAACTTGTCCAGTGAGTGTTGTTTGGTGAGTTTTGCTCGTACAAGTTGCCAACACATGCCTCCATCATGAGGAAATGCTGATTTTGTGTGTCAGGAGCTACAGCCAGCAACATGACAATGTACATGTATGTAGTGCGTATGTGCACGGCGCGCTGAGTCGTTTGACACCCCACTCGCATACATTGCATGCAGTATCGGTCATAGTAATATATCGCTTATAGTGATAAAATGCTCAAAATCAAACACCAACGCTATAGGCGATACTGACTGTACAAGATCACTAAAATGAAATGATGTACATGTACCTCAAAGTACTCCAGGAAATTTACAGTGACGGCAACCCATTCGAGCTGCACACTCTTTTAAGTTGCAGTCATGTACTCTTGGTGGTACAATGTAAAGTGAAAAAGAACCTTGACATGCACAAAGTGCTCAACACACTATCAAGTGTGGAGCAGTGATGACTCATCCAGGCAGAGCAATGGCCCAGGATACTACTAGCACATGTACATTGCATAAACAATCTCTTAGCTGCCTGATGATTGCTTGCGCAAGAAACTCTGAGTACATGTACTGAAGTAGCAGTAGCAAGAAACTCTGAGTACATGTACTGAAGTAGCAGTAGCAAGAAACTCTGAGTACATGTACTGAAGTAGCAGTAGCAAGAAACTCTGAGTACATGTACTGAAGTAGCAGTAGCAAGAAACTCTGAGTACATGTACTGAAGTAGCAGTAGCAAGAAACTCTGAGTACATGTACTGAAGTAGCAGTAGCAGGAAACTCTGAGTACATGTACTGAAGTAGCAGTAGCAAGAAACTCTGAGTACATGTACTGAAGTAGCAGTAGCAAGAAACTCTGAGTACATGTACTGAAGTAGCAGTAGCAAGAAACTCTGAGTACATGTACTGAAGTAGCAGTAGCAGGAAACTCTGAGTACATGTACTGAAGTAGCAGTAGCAAGAAACTCTGAGTACATGTACTGAAGTAGCAGTAGCAGGAAACTCTGAGTACATGTACTGAAGTAGCAGTAGCAAGAAACTCTGAGTACATGTACTGAAGTAGCAGTAGCAAGAAACTCTGAGTACATGTACTGAAGTAGCAGTAGCAAGAAACTCTGAGTACATGTACTGAAGTAGCAGTAGCAAGAAACTCTGAGTACATGTACTGAAGTAGCAGTAGCAAGAAACTCTGAGTACATGTACTGAAGTAGCAGTAGCAAGAAACTCTGAGTACATGTACTGAAGTAGCAGTAGCAAGAAACTCTGAGTACATGTACTGAAGTAGCAGTAGCAAGAAACTCTGAGTACATGTACTGAAGTAGCAGTAGCAGTAGCAATATGATTGTACTACAGTACTGTAGTAGCCTAGTAACCATGGTAACCTGTACTGTTGTACTGTTCTGTTCTTCTGACTGGATGTGTACTATCGATCTTGGCAGTAAGTTATCTACCCGTAGAGTGTTTGTTAGCTTACGGTATCCATGGTGACGCGGTCACAGTAACTGCTTTGTTTACATTGGCCCAGCTGATGTCATCACATTATGTGGACAGCTTGATAATTGTGCTTGTAGCGATTTAGTGAAAGGATTATTTTCGAGAAGCTATCCTCGCCGGATGAGAGTTTTGTATTTGTCACTAAACATTGTCGCCATGTGCGTGTGTGTGCGTGTGCGTGTGTGCACAATATTATGTGTATTGCAACACCAATTCCAGGTTGTTGCCAAGGATATTACAAATGCGAAGGTGTCACCCAAGAGCTTAGTCAGTGACCTCTCAGCTAAGTTGAAGATACAGATTGCCAAGGAGTCAGCATTGACAAGTAGGAACATTGATTCATCTGCTTTGCTCAGTGTTGCTCGATTTGCGTAGGACATTCTGCTGGTCTCATCACTTGTATTGACTTTTTATTGCTCGCATGTATGTTTTTTCATTCTTCTTTTTTTGCCATAGCTCATTCCTCTGCTGGACAGAGTGGTGTTTAACCCCCTTGCACGAACCCAACCACGCACTAAGTGACTTGACTTGTTGCTAATAGAGATGCTGTCGACTTATATCTGTTTCTTTCAATTTATTTACACTTCTTTTTAATCCAGAAGAAAGGACCAAAGGTTGAAATGTTATCCGTAGTGGTCCAACGAATGTAATTTCCACTGCAGTGTGATGAAGTGCGGCTGCTCTTCATCACATCACCCACTATACTACACACTGGGGAGCAGCTGTCTAAGCATACACCGGTGTACAGTGAAACGTCTGTATCAAGTAGCCTGGATACTACGTACTGCGGGCTATAGTGCTCTTTCTGGGGACCCTGCATTTAGCTATACCGAGTATAGCGGTGTTGGGTGTACAGTTACTGAGTACATACAGGTAGGCCATAATGTACAGACTTGTTAGGGTCCTTTCAGATCCACTACACTGAAGTTCCACTGTAGTCGGCACACAATGCATCGTTCTCTCTTTTCAATAGACAAGGCTAGCCGGCACAGCGTATTGTTTTTGCTGTAAACAGCAGTTTAGTGATGTAGACAACCCGTGGGTTGAAAGCAGTGTTATTCGTATGAACCGTGTATGAATACTTTTTTATTCTCTGAAGCACCGGCAGCATTACCACAACCAGCGCTGATGGCTAAAAAGTTAGTAAAAACAAAACAAAATAAAACAGCACGCATATCGGAAATAGTCATAATGTGCTAAGAAAGCTATGGACTAGGCAGAACCAGGGCTATGCACGCTGTTGAACACCTCGGCCATAGACTGCAGGGCAAAGCGTGCAGCAAAGCAAGCGGCAAATGTAAATCATCTACTTCAAGTCTCGGCTGGCTCAAAGCCAAAATATTCTAATTAACCAAACTCTTGTCACTCTAGACGAAGTGTACGCCTGGCTTTCATAGAATCATCAAGGAGGGATAGCGGCGTCAGAGAAAAAGAATAGAGGGTAAAAAAAACACAGGAATGTGGGCAAATCTTGTTATAGTGCATGAGCTAGCAACGTCCGGCATCTCAAACTTGTGCTGCAGCGCACACTACACACAAGTCCTACCAACAACATCCTATTCTTGTATCAGACTCAAGTTTTCTATGGCTGCTAGCGCAAGCCAGTCCTAGTGTGATGGCTAAAGCGACTGCTGTGCAAGATGTACTCAGCACGGAAATCCTCAAGATGGGCCAACTACCTAGCTGTGCTGTTAACTCAACATGTGTACCTCCTATTCGGCTGCAGGAGGAACAGAGGCAGCAGTCCTTCTACGCCAAATCTTTCGCAGTCAGCGTGGACAAGTCTAGCTGCCGCTCCAGCTCGTCAAAGAACTCTGGTTTGAGATTGCCTGTCACTCCCAACCAGTCACGCAGAATGCTAGAGGAGACCGGTGCTTCGTTCACCTGCGCCCCAATGCCGTACGTGTTCACTTGTAGATCAGCATTGGCCCTGCACCAACAACAGTAACATCAGCCACTACGGTTAGACACCATGGCCCCGCGGAGTGGTAAGACAAGGAAGAAGCAATGCAGCACACAAAACGTGAAGTTTGTCATCTTGGAACTGTGCCCGTAGAGTTCCCTGTATGTTGAAGGGATGGCAATATAAGGATTTGGCAAGTGTCTGTACCAGGGAGAAGTACAAATACCGGTATTTTATTACTCCCTGGTCTGTACTTGTGTGTGAAGAAAAGCCAAAACAATGACTGGGCAAGTGTCCTGCTCATGTGGAGTTTCATCCTGGAACAATAATTATTATGATACTTGGAGGTCTTCAACTAGGAGGTACTTGTACTATTGTCCATTCATGGGTGACTTTTCATTCATGGGTGACTTTTCATTCATGGGTGACTTTTCATTCATGGGTGACTTTTCATTCATGGGTGACTTTTCATTCATGGGTGACTTTTCATTCATGGGTGACTTTTCATTCATGGGTGACTTTTCATTCATGGGTGACTTTTCATTCATGGGTGACTTTTCACTCATGGGTGACTTTTCACTCATGGGTGACTTTTCATTCATGGTGGACTTTTCACTCATGGGTGACTTTTCATTCATGGGTGACTTTTCATTCATGGGTGACTTTTCATTCATGGTGGACTTTTCACTGGACTAGTGGATTTACAGTGTAGATGTATGTTGTGTGTGTGTGTGTGTGTGTGTGTGTGGGTGCGTGCGTGCGTGCGTGCGTGCGTGCGTGCGTGCGTGCGTGCGTGCGTGCGTGCGTGTGTGTGGTGTTTAGTCTTACCTTGCTGCCATCATCACTGATGGGTCGTTGAACGGTAACTGAGCTATGCTGGGTGCTTGTTGTGCTGTGCCCAAGTGCGACGGTGGCATTGCCATGGGCATCTGCTGGAACTGAGATGAGGCAGCCAGAGCGGCGGCGCCTGTGGCTGCTGCCGGGTTTGGAGGATGAGACAGAGGCGTTGTGTGCTGCAGTGGTGCCGCTGTATTGCTATTCGTAGCCTGCAAGTCAGCTACTTGTCTCAAGGATTGATGCGTGAGTGGCATTGCAGGTACCTGCTGGATCATGTCTTCGATATTGATAGCACCAACGCCGTATCCACTGCATAGAGATGAACCATGCGGAGTGGCGATTGTCAACTTTGTTGTGTCTTCATCGTCATCTTCGTCATCACTGGGTGTTGATGCTGTGACATACACGCACACCATAATCGACACTATGTACAGCACTATGTACACCACCATGCACAACACCATGCACAACACTTGGCATAAGGGACTGCACCATGCCGTGTGCAGCCCCTACAGCCCTGCATACGTAGTACATGTGTTACATACAATTTGTATCTGTCTCATGACAGTAATCATACTCATCATAGTCAAGGTTCACCTCAAAGGTTCAACGGTGCTCGCAAAATGAATGGGGACTGGATACCAATACTCTTTATGTGTACGATGACTGTGAACCGTGTGTATCTACGCTGTGACCTTTCGACCTGTCTGGGATCCATACGGCTCTATTGTACAAATTTGGTACAGTGCATTACATCATTGGTGTCCGTTTGTGGTGCTGTCCCCTATGGCAAGTGTGGGATTCGGCTTTCCACGACTGTACATGATCGCGTGTATCCTCTCTTCACACACTATCGTACACGTATGTCATGTAGTAGTACAATGTACTTACTGTCCTCCACAATGGTCTTGTAGAGCTGAATGAGTGACGGCGTTAGGGGAACCCGTTCTGCAGCAGCTACGAGACTGTTCTCATCAGCCGACATGTTGAGGCTGGGCCGCCACGACAGGGCAGTTGGGTCCTGGATCGGCGGTAGTGAAGTGTTGCTCTGCACGCTAGCAGCTGTTCCTCCAACAGCAATACCGCCAGAGAAGGTGGACATATGCGATGGGAGAGTTACTGATGAGAGTGATGACACCGCGGCGTTACCTGCAAACAGTGCATCTGAACTGGATGATGGCATAATTGCAGCACCCGGTGGACGTGGCTGAAACATGTCCTGCGAAGACAGACGACTAGCCTGCCACGATGCTTGCAGTTCAGCCAGGCCAGATTGAGAGTTGCTGGCCGAGGCCACTGGACCCGCACCTGTAACGCCCGTTGCTTGCCCTGGAAGACCCGCTACAGTAACACAGGCATGGGACAGTGTACATAAGGACCAATCCTACTACTGAGTACATTGTGCATCATTAGATCAATCTCTGTGAAGACTGCTCGGTACACCAGGGCAAGCTACTGAATCCTGATGGCACCAGATTTTAACCACCAACACAAAAACACAGACAAACATCCCAAATGCAACAGTAACTAACTGGAATGATCTTCTTGATACAAACACCCCGAACGCAACAGTAACTTGAAAGATCTTCTTAGCACAGACATCCCAAACGCAACCGTGCCTTGAAAGATCTTGTTGCTGCACACATACCAAAGCCACTTCTGAAAGGTTGCTTGGCATCTGGCATTACAGTCTGTTGTACGTTGCCACCATGTCCTGTGGAAATCTGCTGGTCATCTCCCAAGGATGAGTCACTGTGTGATCGCTTTCCCGCTGCAATCGGCACATTGGGCTGCCCAGCTAGAACCGCCAAGGGATTGTAGCATTGTGGAGGCTTTGTGACTTGCTGCATGACAAGAGAAGCACGAACAAATACGCACACTTGATTACAAAACCACCCAACCTTCTCATATCAGCACAGTTGAGCAAAGAGTGCTTTTGCAGGACTGCATAACTGCAACACAAGTGTCTTCAACAACAAGTGAACATCATGATGAAAAAGAAAGAAATACTGGCCAGATAATAATGTCAGTGTTTCATTGAACATCCATCCACGCAGTGCACAATCACCAGCCTTCTTCCAATACCTTGGTTGCCAGCGAGGCATTGTTCCATACCTTGGTTGCCAGTGAGGCATTGTTGGGCAGAATGTTGTAACCCGTTAATAAGAATGGTTCATCCGACGACGACGGTGGAAGCTGTTGCTGTAGTTGCTGTTGCTGCTGTTGCTGTAGCTGTTGATGCTGCTGCTGCTGTTGTTGTTGTAGCTGTTGATGTTGCTGTAGCTGTTGTTGTTGCTGCTGTAGCTGCTGTTGCTGGTGCTGTAGCTGCTGCAGCTGAGGTGGCATCATTGGATGGGTTTGCACAGAATCATAAGTGAATGGTTTCTGAAGTCTTGGGTTGTGCATTACAGTCGGCGGTATGATAATGACATTGCCGGAATCCTTGCCTGTTCCACTGTCATGCGATAATGGACGTCCATTTCTGCTGGCATTCAGCGTGTTTGGCAACAGGGAATTCTGTCCTGGACCTGCTGCTGCTGTGGCTGCTGCAGCAGCAAGGAACTGGCCCGGTGTATCAGACAGAGGTTGTGCCATTGCTGCTGCAGAGTACGAAGGCTGGATTGAGCCAACTGGTGGCACATCCACGGCAGAAGTGGTGTTTTTGTTCGATGTGGCTGGTGCGCAGGACTCGTTATTGCGCCGACCACTGCTGGTCCTTAGGATCAATTTGAGGATGGCTGCTTGGTCTGTAGAAGCACTTGTACTTGGCTTTCTACCTGATGATGCAGTACTAGTTGTTGGTAAGGATACTACTGTTGTAGAATGGGCAGCAGCAGCAGCAGCACCAGCAGCAGCACCAGCAGCAGCTGTGGTGGTGGTGGTGGTGCTCAATGGTTGCACAGTCTGTGTTTTCGTGCCGTTTGATGCAATGCCATCTGTTTTGACAATTCCGGAGTTGGTTGTACCACTTGCCTGTCCAGCAGAAGTACCAGGACTCGTACTATCAGTAGTAGAGGAAGCCACCGTTACTCCAGCCACCGTCGAAGTAGTAGCAACCACGGCTGTACTGACAGAACTGACTGTTGCACTAACATCTGAAGTAGCAGCAGCAGCAGCAGTATCTGCAGTGCTCATGACAGAGCTTGTTCCATCGCAGCTGCTTGTTGTCATTGTTGTCACACATTCAGAGCTGGATGCTGACTCCTGCTTTGCCTGTTGCATCAGCTTCCACCTGGTTATCTGGCTTTTGCTATCCAGTTCCTGTCGGCGAATCTCCTCCATCAGCTGCTTCTCTGCCTTGATCCTATCACGTCGCTCCTTGGCACGAATCCTTTTACGCCGCTTGTTCTCTTCTATTTTCTGCTGACGTCTCAAGGCAGCATCATCTGGTACGACGACGACAAAACAACAACAACAACAACAACATCTCTTATTGGCCACAACATCTCTTATTGGCCACAGGCCATCGTGAGAATAAAAGATTTCAAACAACAACAACAACAACAACAACAACAACAACAACAACAACAACAACAACAACAACAACAACAACAACAACAACAACAACAACAACAACAACAACAACACAGCAGCAACAGCAGCAGCAGCAACAATAATATCATTGCAATATGGAAAGAGATGAGAATATACTGCAGTATGGTCATCCTACACTGAGAGAAGGTAGCAGTAGCTCACACTGTACATCGAGTGGACAATGATCTCACTGAAACGGGCAGTTTCCTACAAACACGTACGCAGCAGTGGATTGAATGATGGGGTGAATGTGAAGATCTCAAGATCTGCTGCAAATTGCCTGAACAAAGTGTACCAGTGTGTGTGTGTGTGTGTGTGTGTGTGTGTGTGTGTGTGTGTGTGTGTGTGTGTGCGCGTGCGTGTGTGTGTGTGTGTGTGTGTGTGTGTGTGTGTGTGCGTGCGTGGTGGATACCAGGCTAAAAATAGTGGCGGTCAATTCATCAGCCTTGCAAGCTGTTGAATGGTGAAATCCCAGCACAAGTTGCTATGTCTAACATAGCTGTTCGCTATCATCGCTTCCGCGATGGGCAGGTCTGAGGTCTGAGGTGTGTGTGTGTGTGTGTGTGTGTGTGTGTGTGTGTGTGTGTGTGTGCACGTCACTGTCTCTTGGGACACGGCGCTATGTGTACCAAGCTTGCGTCTTGATGGTCCTGTTTTATGCATCAGAGACCTGGACGTTGAAGGCCCCGCAGCTACATCGCCTGGAGGTATTCCATCACCATTGCATCCGAGTGATTCTGGGTGTGTCACGGGACCAGCAGTGGCAGGAGCGCATTTCTTCTGAGGAACTAGCCCGTCGTTTCGGTATGCTGTCGTCAATGGCGGAGGTCGTACGCTGTCACCGTTTACGCTGGCTTGGCCACCTTGGGCGAATGGAGGATTCCCGTCTCCCCAAGCGCGTTCTGTTTGCTGAGGGACTCAACACAAGGCCCAGACACGGTCCTAAGAAACGTTGGAGGGACATCGCCGCTGCTGATCTGAGTGCTCGGTGCATGACAGGTGACTGGTGCGACTTGGCGCAGGACAGACGAGACTGGCGCCTCATGTGCAATCGTCCCCGGCCGGCTGTGCCAAAGCCTAGAGTGTTCATTTGCGGCTGTGGCTGGGACTTCCGTCGGCCCAACGATCTAACTCGCCACAGGAAATACTGCAACTCCTGATGCTATCATTGCACGGAGCAATGGGCATTCAAAGGTCCAAAGGTGTGTGTGTGTATGTATGTGTGTGTGTGTGTGTGTGTGTGTGTGTGCGTGTGTGTGTGCGTGTGTGTGTGTGTGTGTGTGTGTGTGTGTGTGTGTGTGTGTGCGTGTGCGTGTGCGTACGTGTTTGTGAAAAGAAGGGGACACCCACTGAATTCTACTTGTAACAGGAAAGCAGGGTCTAGACCATACCTGCTGCAGTGGTTGCACCCCCTCCACTGGCATTAGCAGTTGCACTGGACGAGCCAGCTCCTCCAGCAGATGTCGATTGGGATGTGGACTGTGATGCTTTCCCGTCCCCTTCACCGGCTTGCCTATTCGCTATTCTGTCTTTCAATACTTTGAACAGGCTCTGGACTACTTGCTGATGGCGATCCTCCTCCTATGCACAGAACATACACATTGCAAACAAAAGGGCAAAGGAAATATGAAAAAGATGCAACACTAAACGAGTAAACATACATATTGATAACTATAGGTTACTCCGTTTGTAGCGAGTGCCAGGATATAGCGAACCATTTTCCATAGTCAAGCTTGAGCATGTGCAAAACCGACCCTTCAAAGCGAACTATTTTTGCTTATAACAAACTGAATGTTACTGTGTAGCTGGTACTAGCTACTACATACGCCATTGCAGACATGCTACATACGCCATTGCAGACATGCTACATACGCCATTGCAGACATGCTACATACGCCATTGCAGACATGCTACATACGCCATTGCAGACATGCTACATACGCCATTGCAGACATGCTACATACGCCATTGCAGACATGCTACATACGCCATTGCAGACATGCTACATACGCCATTGCAGACATCAAGAGTACATAACCCCCCAGAGTGTGCAACGCCGATCCAGCTCTGTGTAGGGTCTTGGTCGAGCGGAATCGGATCTTCTGATGTCATGCGTACACTTCACACCAGCGCAAGGCCGGTCTCGAGGCAGGGCACCATTGTTTTTGATCCAAGAGTACCCGCGACTCCCCGGGTTCCCCTCAGATGTGTACGGTATTATGACGCAAAGATCCGATTCCGCTCGACCAAGACCCTATGCAGAGCTGGATCAGGCGTTGCACACTCTGGGGGGTTATGTACTCTTGCAGACATGCTACATACGCCATTGCAGACATGCTACATACGCCATTGCAGACATGCTACATACGCCATTGCAGACATGCTACATACGCCATTGCAGACATGCTACATACGCCATTGCAGACATGCGGTCACAGGTGCATGACATTTAGCCTCTGTGGAGTAGGTGCATTTAGGTTACATAGAACTACTTATTCTGCATACTAGTGTTCGTGTAGTAGCACGCTTCTGTCAGAAATCAATTGTACATGATAAGCGCACTATTTTTTAGGGGAGGGGGGATGGGGGGTAAGCGTGCTCGAGCTTTGTTGGCCCAGCGCCATAGCGCGAGCGTTCAAAACACAGAAACTCGGAAAAAATGGTGCTGTCAGATGGACATTATTGTGAAAATTCAGTATATTTCCCGGTATACCGGGATGAAAGTGACTTTCCCGAGATTTTCCACCATTTTCACCATTTTCACCATTTTAAGATTCCCGGCACAACTGGACATAAAATACCTGATGATAACATAAAATACCTGATGATAAGCATCCATTTCCTCAGTAATGTTTTTCCGCAGCTTGTCCACGTTGAAATCTGGGTCATCGAAACTAAAATCGAGCGGTGTGTCACAAGTTGGCTCGTCCTCAGACAAATGATATCGTTCCAAATAGCTGTGAGAGAGGGCATCATTGACGGAGAAACGCTCCTGTGGAGTAAAACACACACACACACACACACACACACACACACACACACACACACACACACACACACAAATACAATACCATATTTCCCCGTAAGTAAGTCCTCCCCAATGACTTAGTACCCCCCTATAAAAAAATACACTTTTCACTGCCGAAGGTTATCACCCCGAAAGACAGTTCCCCCGAAAGATAGTAAGTTCGTACCCGTCCTACATGTACAGACACCGTACAGTACATACATCATATGCACGGACACTACAGTTGCGCAGGCTTCCCACTGCGTGTCATTTACCCCCGATAAAAAAGTACTCCCCGAAAGATAGTACCACCCCCGAAAGTTAGTACTCATGTGGCTGCTAAGTTTGAAAGTTAGTACGTACTATTTAAACTTACGGGGAAATATGGTCATGTACATGTAGCCAGGGTGAGTAGGAATTGTTGGAGTGCAATCTAGAAGGCAATAGACCGTGCCTTAGCTATTGCTACGGCTGAACATGGTGCAGCATAGAGATCGGGCACCTTTAACGTAGGCACCTCACATGACCTGCGTTGCATTGGTAATAGCACTGATTGAAGGTCCAGAAATTCATTAAGGGGGGGGGGGGGAGGTACACCACCATCCCACTATTGTCACCACAAGTACATGACATTGTACTACAGTTTGTTTCATTACCAGCACACGCATACTTACTGTTGGGTGAAACATTAGCATTTTGCACAAAAGCCCCACACCTTCCTCGCTGGCCTTTGGGAACATCGTCGACAGTTCAACGGCTTCTTTCTTTGGTAGTCGAGAAAGGTAGGTTTGGACTCGCTCCTGCGGCACCTTCTCGATTACCTTCATCATACAAATCAGAAGAGGACAACACAGACCTACACGTCTATAGCAGTTGCTACCCTCAATCCAAAACATGGCACTTATTTCCTTCTTTCATTCGTTCTTTTTCTTTTTACTTCTGGAACACATGGTGAATGCTTAGCCAACAGCTAGTGGTGCCTTCATGAACAGCAGCTTTCCTTCACCTGACTTTTAATGTACCGGGCGCCTTTGGCCAATAATAATGCACTGCTTTGCACTCGGTATGTACTAGTAGTTGCACGCTATCCTGCATTCAGTAGACTGTTCTCCTTCAGTTGACTGCTCTGCATTCAGTAGACCATTCTGCATTCAGTAGATTGTTCTCCTTCAGTTGACTGTTCTGCATTCAGTAGACTGTTCTGCATTCAGTAGACTGTTCTGCATTCAGTAGACTGTTCTGCATTCAGTAGACTGTTCTGCATTCAGTAGACTGTTCTGCATTCAGTAGACTGTTCTGCATTCAGTAGACTGTTCTGCATTCAGTAGACTGTTCTGCATTCAGTATCATATTGATTGTACTAGTACATGTCTTTGGGCAATCCTTAAATAAAAACCAATCAATGTAGTTGCATGGCCATACCTCTTCAGTAGGGGTTCCAAGAACACTAAGAATCAGCTGCAGCTGATGGACAAAGTTGTTTCCTGGGAACAGCTGCTTGCGGTTGAGCATCTCGCCGAATATACAACCAACTGACCAGACATCGATGGCTGCTGTGTATTCGCAGAAGCCCAGCATCAACTCCGGTGCACGGTACCAGCGCGTTGCCACATACTCGGTCATGAAGTTCGTCCGCTCTTCAGGAGTCGATGCCATTCCTCGTGCCATACCAAAATCACCTGGTTGGTGAGTCGACAAAGTGCACGGTAGAACACACACACACACACACACACACACACACACACACACACACACAAACGCACACACACACACACACACACAAACACACACGCCGGTATTCAGTTAGCAATGACAATTGACGTGCAGCTACATACCCATTACAAATACTATCGCTACAGTCAGATGTCGGCTATCCGAACTTTACTCTTCCAAACACGTCGCGATCAAGCCGGCCATTGGTCTCAATGAGATTTGTACAGCATTCGCTCACTATCCGGAGAATATCTTTTGCTACTTGCATTGTTCTCAACTGCCCTTGCCACAGCCGTGCAGCCATAGAGTGCAGATTCCATGCACTAACAGTACTTATAACAGTGCAGATTCCATGCACTAACAAACCTACAAATGTTCTACTGCACTGAATAAGCAAAAGGTGATACAGTCGTCCCTCTCTAATCCGGCACTTGTTTATCCGGAACCCTTGCCAACCGGCGCACTTTCTGACGAAACCGATTTTTTTCGTTCAATTACTACATCTTAATCCGGCACTTGAATTCCGCCTCCGGCAGTGACTTTTTGAAACGAATCGCTCAAACTGCACGTAGTTTGATTTCATAATCCGGCAGTCGTAAATCGCGTACCGTACAGGTGCACTCCTTGCCAGGCCAGGCTAGGCCAGTCTGGTCAATGTTGTCCAGGAGACAACGGCAGTCAACAAACCATACTTTCTTATTTTAGCAAGGAGTAGTGTCCTGCCAATTTCCGGTGAGTGTGTGTGTGCGTGTGTGTGCAAGAGTACATGTGAACATGTTCTCTGTTTTACTTTATCACTTTATCACTGTGTATATTCCCGGAGAACAATTGAGAATATAAAGCCGTGCACCAAATACTTGGGTCGACACGGAAAAACCCTGCGTTTTGACGTACATATGATACATGTATGCAATTGGGTAGGGCCGTGTCAGAGGGCAGGATTTCTTAATCCAGCACCCTCGTTAATCCAGCAGAAAACACTGTAGCAAAAGGTGCCGGATTATAGAGGGACGACTGTACTGCACTTTGAAGAACCTTGTACAGTGGTGACAACTTGAAATCCGACCCCTGATTTTCGAGCTCGAATGCAGCACCGATTCTAGCGGTCTCTATTTCGTAGTGTATGATCCCAAACTGGGTCTTTTCATTTGTGAGCGGACCGCTCCAGGTGTCGGATTGCAGTTGCCAGCGCTTTATGTCCATCATTCAGGCAGTGGAAGGACTCAACTTCACGTATTCTCTTATCCAAATGGGTCGGGCCCAAAGTGGTCCAAAGTGTTCAGATAAACGACACACGACTCTCGGCACGATTTCTTCCTAGGTTGCAGAGCGCATGTTCACTCTCTACATTGCAGCTCTGAAATCATGACCCTTATCTCCTACACGTGCAATGAGTAATCCAGTTGGTGTCCTCGGCAAATGCACATCACTCATATAGTGCTGCTCAATAAAAACCGGTCGTGTGAGTCAAGTTTGCGCCTTGTACATTCATTTCCGCAGCCCAGTGTTCGCAGGTCTAGGGCTGCGCAACGCCTAGCGCCTACTTGAATGACGCAATCGGATTTCATTGCGCATCACTGTGGCTTTCATTAATTAAAATGTTATATCCCGTCGACTTTGCACATAGTTGTTATTCTTACATGACATGACTGTGTCACTTACCAATTTTCAACTCGCAGTTTTGATTGACAAGCAAGTTGGAAGGCTTGAGATCTCGATGTATGACGTTCGCCGAATGGATAAACTTCAGACCCCTCAGTACTTGATAGAGAAAATACCGCACATGTTCCTCCGTCAGTTCCTGGTCGCTGTAGATAATGTGATGCAGGTCACTCTCCATTAGGTCCAGAACCACATATACATCCTCGAAGGTACTCGCCTCCTGGGCGGCTGGTCTCATAATATCGCGAATACCGATGATATTGTCATGCTTCAGGTGGCGCAGAATGCGAATTTCTCGATACGTTCGTTTGGCAGTCATGGCTACCTCGAATACTTTGGGGATCTTTTTGATGGCTACCTTGCTATCGGTACGTGAGTCTATGGCCGAGCACACAACCCCATAGGCACCGGTCCCGATTCCTTCCAGCAACTGGTAGCGATCGTCCACCTCGAAGCGCACATCGTGGCATTTGTGACTGATTGTGTAGGTCCGTTTATTTGGAGCTGGAATATCGCTTTTCGCTTTGCCAGCACCCACTGCTGTTGTCGTGGTCGTTCCAGCTGTTGCAGCTACTGTACTACTCATAGCTGCTGGAGGAAGATGCCGGGGTTGATTCTACAGCATTTCACGACACGAGATTCAAAGACAAGGGCACTACAAACTAATGATTCCAACTAAGGCTAAGACAACAATTACATTTTGGAGAACAAATTTTTAATTTCAACCCAAAGTTGGTTCGATAGGACGATTGTGCAGTGCTCGTACAGTTTGGTCTGTTATTTTTCCAGGCCTATGCAAGCGACGCAAAAACGGGAAGCACGTCGCTACGTCACAATGCGCTAGGCTCGAGTCATGCCGCATGCACAGCAGCAGCTAGCAGTACCGGACTCTTCCAGTCATCTGCTCATGTAACTGAGCCTCAGACTTTCAGTCTTTTCAAGAGGTCGAAGCTGTAGCCTAGCCTAGCGTGCCTAGCGCCTGGCTAGCCGTATACGCGTAGTCTGTACTGTATCAGTGTATGACCACAAACAGCCTTATCTGTACGAAAATGTCTTTGTCCCCCGCGGCCCCGACTTACATAAACAGTCAGTGAAACCTGTCAAGGCGACCACCTGTCCCAGAACTAATTACTTCAGGCAGAAGACGACTGCAGCTACATGTACATAGACCCGGGTGCTCGAATCAGAAACGATTTGACAGGTGTGCAATTTCTCATCTGTAAATCTCAACAATGTCAGAATATACTTTTGGAGAGGCGATGGAACAAGGAAGAGAGTCTGGCTTGACCCACCTAGCAGGAATTCAGAACCTGGGTGCGCTACAACACAAGCTACAGCACGCAGCAAAATAGTCATATTTCCTTCGGATTTTTTACTTGAAAATTGGGTGCTCGAATCAGAAACAGCAAACTCGTCAGATCGTCTCCGATTCAAGCACACGGGTCTACCGTCGTCTACGCTTGGTATGGCAGTTGAGGGCAGGGAGTAGTAACTTACTACTTCGTTTTTGAGAGCAAGATGGTCAGTGGAGCCGCAGATTCAGCAGGTCTTTGGCAGCACCCTACAGGAGACCCATATCCTCGAATCAAGGACCCAACAAAAAGTGGGTCGTGAGTATTTCAAAAACAGTTTACCGGGCAGAGCTGAAATTTGGCATACCGTTAGCGGGCCGTATGTTGATGGTATTTGTGAAAATTAAACGAAATCGGATTAAGTTTAGGTACAATTTCAGGCTGTTTCTGTTTTGGTACCCTGTCTCTCATTCGAGCACCCGGGTCTACGGACCAAGGGCTATTTTGTGTGTGGGGATGTCATTTCCAGACCAATGACCCTGGATAAGGAGACCACCTGCACACAGCGTCCATATTTCCTAGCGGTCCGCTTAGTCAGAAGGCAGTGCTGAAACCGAGACCCTGGCCTTGGTCGGTTGAGCTGCTCTTGCCCCGCCTCCACTGCTTCGGCTGCCATCCCTATGTGTATCCCTGTGCGTTTTTGCCGGTGTTTGCACCATGATGGTTTGTGGCTATTTTGTAAAAAAAAAAGAAAAGAAAAAAAAAGGGTTTCGCTGGACTATGATGACGATGATCAGCTGATGATGGGTGCCCTCGCCGTGCCAGGCATTAGCTTGTGGTCTGGTAACGGTATAAGCAGGGAGTCGTAAAGGTATTTTACGACTCCCTAGGTATAAGCAGGTAACTCAGCCTGAGGGAACGATGAACTCTTGATATTGTTAGCATGTCTACTTGACTACACTGTATCCATTTTTGTAGATCGACGGCATGAACAAACATTTAAAATTGTTCACAAGCCAATGCATGTTCATGTACACCGACCAGACACAATGACATCCAGACCAGGAGTGGGGTCACACAAGTGGACATCTCTGATGAGCAGATGCAGAGGGTGGTTAATTAATTGCGATAATTATGGTAGTGAACCGTCATGACGATTGACACCCCCCCCCCCCCCCACACACACACACAAAGCCGGGAGACATTGAGTACCAGCATCATTATGACTTGTGGAGTTAGAAACACTGTCTGTAACAACACACATAACCAGGACCAACCAGAAACAGATAGATACACTGTACTGAGTATCATTGGTGTCGGTAGACGTCACCGGCCGAAAATGGGTTCAGGAAAGTAAAATAAAATAATTAGGAGGCAAAATCATTGAAGAAAAGAAAAGAAAAAAAGCAGTTAGGTGTAAACATGTCATGCCTAAATGCAGTAGTCGACTAGGATCAGAAACACTAACACCCAAACAGCGGGACTAGTTGTTATAGTAGTGCACATTATGAGTATGCCGCGCATCTGTGCGTGTTAAAAAAATGATGTTTCAACATGACACTTGGTTATGGTAAGGGCATCAATCCTCCTTTCTACAGCAACGGTTCCATGGCCAGATCCAGCACGGCACACGGCAAGTTCAATTCAAAGTTCTTCAGCACGTCCGGGTGCAGAACAGCAAGTGTTCCGATCTTCTCGCCACGTACCATGACTGACGCACATCGGCCAGGGAAGTAGGTTGGATCTGGATGCAGGCACAACAAACACAGCAGAGCAAAAAAGCCGAGTTTGTGGATTTGAATTCCAGGAAAACACAATTGAATTTCATTGTTCAGTTACATTGACACTTCAAATCTTTTAACCCTTTAAGGACGTTATGACGGATATATCCGTCATGACTGTGCAGTGCATACTGCATACACTCAATTTTTCGTATCTCGGCTTTCCCTTGACAGAATCGCGTGATCGAAAGGTCTATCGACATTAGAATCGTCTCAGCTGTCGGCTCAAACAAATCCGAAGTCGATCCGAGGTCAAATATTGGAGCTACGGCACTCGCAAGGTATTTTACGTCCTGCAGTAAATTTTGACTTCCGCGCGCTGTGTCATTCAAGGGATTTCCCCCTGTTGCATGACAAGCCAGGCAGGTACAGAGCAGAGTGACGTCAGGCACGGATCTGAAGCCGTCAGCTCAGCTACACAAAAAAGCAGCTCTCTACCGTTATTTTTACGAAAATACCAGCAATTTTACCAAATTGGCTCAAAGTCCCGTTTCGTATGTCATCCCAGCGCTATAGCACCAATGTAGTGGCACTGTTGCGAGTCAGGATTACACCAGTGTGTTCCTCTGGCCAAGAGCTTTCCAGGAAGCCCAAGATTATCAAAATTGATAAAAGGAAACTCAAGTTATGATCCGAACTGCTTCCATGCGTAGTGCATGAAGCAGTTTACCTGAATCAAGTCCGTCCTGAAAGGGTTAAAGATACTTCAAGTACTTCGAAGTACTTGATTGTAGATTACTGAAGAGGCAATACTACAGCCATGGTCAAAGAAATCCGACCCGCGAGTCAAAAGTAGCGCCGCGTTTCCATTTCAATTACGTCATGCATGTTCCCAAAACTGATCCGAGGGCCCAGGGGCCGCATGAGCCCTACCGCTGCTTTCAGCACGTGGGTTGGATTTCTTTGGCCACAACTGTAGTACTAAGGGGCCGTCCGCAAATATCGATATTTTTTCAAGACGATATTTGTTCATATCTCCCCGGACCCCCTCCCTCCCCCCTCAAAACGAATATACACACGTTTATGCAGGGTATCAATATTTTTTAATGAAGTGTAATCAAGAGTCCAGTCTTTTCGGCAGCCGGTCAGAATCTTGGTCAACAAGCTGCACAGTTCTCTGGCACCAGAATATGTTGACGCACTCATCTTTCTCCGAAAGAACACATTGCTGAAGGCGTCTCGACATCAAGCCATCTCTGCAACCACCTCTGATGCTGTTGACTGGTGCGAAGTCTTTGCTGAGGAAGTCGAGGCAGCTAACCTCTCTCTGCCACAGTTATAAATTATTTGATTTCTTTTCCATTCTGGCTTGTGATCGTCATAGTCCAAAATATCACAATCATTTCAGCCGTAGTTTACACTCCACACCGTATTGACATTACCTGAACTAGCTTCCAGACAGTAGCCACTGCCATCCTTAGTGCATGGTACTTCACGCAGTTGCATCAGACGGTCCAGAAGGCCATGCATGACCTGACGATGGCAAGAAAGCAGAGCAGAACTTGATACATGTCCTCACTACAAGTACATTACAATTGCATTACAATTGCATCTGTTGCAGTCTCATCGTCTAGGAGATGACCAATCAACAAAGTTCCCACCAAGGGCCTTTTTATTGAAGAAAAGCATGCGAGCAACATCACCAGTAGAATGCACACCAGCTACACACCTAACATGATCAGTCACATGATAGCACTACTAGTATCCGTAGACAACAGTGCCATTACCTCAAATCCTGGTCTTCTGCCATAATGCACAGCACACAGGCTACGTAGGTTCTTGGCACCAACCTCTGCAAGTAGAAAACCAGGGAGAGAAGGGCGAGTTAGACTAAGCAAGCAGAACAACTACAACACACCAACTATCGTGATGCAAAAAAAGAGAAAATTCACGAGAGATTTAGTCAGACTGAGTTTTCCGCATCCGTAGGAGCGCCACCATTCACCATTCTCAAGGATCAAGGTGCAAATGCAGCTCCTAAAGCGGTGGGAGGCAAGTAGGTCAGACCCAGCACAAAGTGGGCAAAGACTGAAAATACCATTCGCTGCATCCATGTTACCCCATTCAAGCCCATGAGTTCCCAACGACGCTACAAACCCTACCTCAAATACAAGTTTGTGTAGAACAACAGTGTATGTGAAGAAAACAGGCAAAGCCCACGCTGTCATTCTGCTTACCGGATTTCTCATCTCTGACAACAATATCAGAGATCTCAAACAACTTCAGGGGTAGTGACACTTTGCGGTTGGAAGCAACGGTTTTTAGAATACCTGGAAGCAGAGTCGTTCTCGCGACCTACAAAGCCACACAATCAAATTGAATGCAAAGCCAAACAGTGACAAATCGAAATAACGTCTACTGGCAGATTCTACATCCAACACAAATCACACATACCAGCAGTACCAGCACAAGGGCCTAGGCAAAACAAATAGCATGCATGAGAGGGTAACCGCAATTACAGCATAGGCTGAAACCTTTACACATGTACTCACACAAGAAGACAATGTCATCTCTAGTGAATGGTCACTTTAATACACACACAGTTTTTGTTACCTGGAACTCTAACGTCTTTGGGTTTCCAATGTGCACAGCGGGAACAGACTCAATGGGGTGAAGCAGAGACGAAGAGACGTCAGCGCGAGAGCACTGTACCCAGGAGCAATGCATACACGTGCGCACACGCACGCACACACACACACACACACACACACACAAACACACACACACACACACACAAACAAGCACATATGGACATATAAATAAACCACCTTGTTTCATAATGTCTTCAGCTACCAATGGGTTAAATATTGGAATTATATTTCAGAATGCTCTGTCTCCATATCAACGTGTTTGGCCTAGTTTCCTAACTCTCGACAGCTTTTTGTAGTGAAATTCATGATTTTGTGATTTTCGTTTTATTGTTGGTGTTCACACATGCGTGAACGGTAGTTTCTACTACAGGTGGAATCCTGATACATGTAATTCGAACCCCAAAATGCCAGGAAAAAACTTCCAATTATCCGGACATTCTAATTATCCAAACATGAACCCAAAACACAATATGTATGTCAAAATGCTCTCATGGTTACGCAGAGTTGCGCTATGGACCCTAGACACAGATTTCACGGATACTGGACTGACCGGCACAGCCTGCTCATGCAAACTGAACTGACCAGTACAGTGTACAGTGAACTTCGAATTACACTTTTCTAACTTCGAATTATCAGCACAAATCCCACACATTTTCTATGCAAGTGGAATCCGTGGGACTTCTAATTAACCGGACATGTCCAGTTCGAGGTTCGAATTATCAGACAATTTTATGTGGGAATCATATTGATAGAAATCGGTCCTGGAAGGAGCTTAAATGCCTCTCCCAAGCTTCGAGTTCGAAGGTGGACCATTCTGGCCAGAACTCGTTTTTTCAGAAGGGCCACCCCAAAAGCAGCAGTACTGGGCAACTCATAGTGTACCCTATGCTACAAGGCAAACCAAACAGACAACATGAAATGGAAACCAATAGATCAGAAGCACCCCACAACAGATTCTCAATTTATTGCCAGCACACAACACATGTTTCGATATCCAGCACTGTAGGCAAAGAAATGAAATACAAGCCTGCCACTGTTCTTTTTTGTCAAGCATAAAGCTGTTCAAAATGAACGCTGCTGTGTTGAAAGGAATTACAAACATCATTTCCACACCCGTACCATGACCCAAGATCTACTCGTAGTGCCGGCATAACATACAAACTAGGGCTGAAATGATAGTTAGTGAAAAGGTAGTTCCGAAACATGGCAGTTTTGAAGTCAATTGAACCTCAGCAGGGGCGTGCTTGGCGAGGGGCACAGGGGGCAAGTGCACCCCCCAAAATATTTCGACCGGGGTTTTGAAAAGTCACCAATGTATTGCGGAAAGCCCGACCTCGCGGCAGCACATCCACAGATGAGGTGCTGAAGCTGTTCTTTCGACGCTCTCCTCGCCGAATCCTGTCCAGACACGTCAACTAGTGTTGCGATTATTCTTAGCTATACCCGTGCAATGTGTGTTTGCATCGGCCTGCCTGGCACATTGCCGTCGACGGATTGGTTTTTAAAGATTTGTAAAGTTTTCATCCTTTATTTTGAAAAAATTGATATGATGCTGTACTGTGTTCATTCTTGATGACATACAATCTTTGTACAGTGAAACCTGTCTATGATGACCGCTCAAGGGACCTTCAAAATGTGGTCTCTGTTACCAGGTGGTCTCATCATCCAGGGTCATTTGACTGGAAATAGCATCCCTTGATCCTGGTTTCAGTGGTCTTCTTGGACAGGTAGTCACCTTATCCGAGTGGTCGCCTTGGCAGGTTTTACCGTAATAGTAATAATGACGTCACATGTACAAATATCTGATGATGTCACCGGTACAACCTTTTGAAAATTGCTGTTGTCTGGAAGTGGTGCACCCCCCTGGAAGGGGAGCCGAGCACGCCCCTGCTCAGAACATGAACCATGCCCCTAGCAAGTTGAACTGCATACTCACAGCGGAAACTGATCCAAGCTTCACAAAAACAGGGGTTTCAGTACTTTTTGGACTCAAAACCTACTACACTGTAACGAGTAATCTATAACGTAACGATTAGTTGATTGTTGAGAAATTATCGATCGATTGCCGAGTAATTGGTATAGAGTCAACTTTGCTAAAAACGACTGTGGATATAACGACAATTCGCGAATAACGACCGAATTTCCATGCCCAGAGCAACGCCCCATCTACCTGTATACAGATATAACGACTAGGGGGGGGGGGGGGGGCTTTTTCTTTCTTTTTTTATTGCTTCAAAATACTTGGGAATTACCAGCACACCTACATGTAGTTGTACATGATTGTATAGCAATCATCATACAAGTACATGTACATGTCCTTGTACATGGCTCCAAAAGGCTTATTTTTCAATTTATTTCCCTTGCATATTGACTTTATATAGTTCCTTTCAACTGCAATAATTATGAAAATAAAGAACACATCGACATAGAGCAAGAAAAGAGCTTCATTTTGATAATGCATGTCATACTATACAAAATATGGGTTCACATACCGTACATTCAAATGGGACTTCAGGTATAAGGACACTTCGTGAATAAGGACACTTTTCTGATGCCCCGCCGAGTGTCGTTATACGCAAAGTTGACTGTAATCGTTTCAGCCCTAATACAAATGTATCAATGCACAGTCATTCTCGACATCACCACATTGTGGTGCGCAGACCTCTGCTTACCAGGGTGAAAGTCAGTGCTTCCGTGAAGCCAGCTTGAGCAACGTCAGCACGTAATAAATCAGTCAATTTGTTCATTGGCAGCTAAAGCAGGCAGTCAGAGGAAAACACATAGCAAAAGTGACATTATCAGATCAGCAACAGGTGGAGACCACATTGCCAGATCAGCAATAGGTGGAGACCACATTGCCAGATCAGTTACATGTGGAGAATTTCACTGTAACAGCGCCCGCATCATCCACATGGCTTCAAAGCCTCTGACCAAGTGTGCAATGCAAAACAAAAATAAGATCAGAAAAGTAGAATTGGTCGCATTTAAGTTGTTCTCACATGAGTCATAGAAGACGTGATCTTTAAGTTAAACAAAAAAAAGCATTTCCAGAAATAGAAGATGAACTGCATTCTTCCACAATACGGAGTTCTACACTCTGGTCCATGCACTCTTGCACTGAAGCAGTCAAACAGGATGCTTCATGAAACTGGAAGTTGACACTCTTTCAGACATTGAATCCGGGTCAGTCATGTCTTACCTGCTTTCCAATTGTACACGTCTGTGGCAAGACAAACTCAATGTTGTTATAGCCATAGGCAATAGCGACATCCTCAACAATGTCGCACGCATGCATCACATCTATACACCGGTGACATAGCCAACAAAACACACACACACACACACACATACACAAATATGTACATACACACAATGTAGACACATACTGTACTCTTGGCCTCCGATGAGAGTACATGAACGAAGAGAATGGATAGCAATGGCAATTATATCATGTGAGCCAGAAAAAATGTTTTCACAAAGTTTCCTACTCACAGCCACATAAAATCATAGCTTTCCAGGTCCTTGGAAATGTTTCAAAAGATCATACATTTCCCAGATTTCCCGTGACCAAAACAAACCACGCTGACACATTAGACACCCTTAGCAAACAACGGTAACGCTACTTTTTACGGTACTCCTACCTTGATCACCCAAATAGCGTTGAAGCTGCAGCGTATAAACGTTATGGGGGCTGATTTATCGTTGTGACCAACGGTACGTGTTTTGGAAAAATATTGCATAGTCCGTACGCATTTCACCTTGTATCGCGTATTATGGTGACAAAAATGGTTGTACCATGCGAAATCAAAGCTATTCTCGTGGCAACAGCGTACTAAAAATAGCGTGCATCTTGCTAAAGGTCGAACCCAAATCACGGTATTTTCCCCCTTACGATAATACCAAGAGTACATAACCCCCCAGAGTGTGCAACTCCCACATACCCTGCTGTCCCGACAGAATTTCAAGTTGACGTCATTATTTATGACGCAATGCTCCTTGCACCAGTGATTTACAACATGTGTACGGGTGTCAACGCATCACACGTTTTTCTTTGCAATAATTTGTACAGGATCGATCTGCTTCGGTCAACCACAGGTTCCAGATTCGTCTGATAATCCGTGTACAGTGCGCATTGCATCATCAAAATGACGTCAACTTGAAATTCTGTCGGGACAGCACCCATAGTGGAGTTGCACACTCTGGGGGGTTATGTACTCTTGATAATACCGTTACAACATCACGTTTTTTGCTAAGGGTGTCTACTGTCATGCCAGTCGAGCACTAACACTGTATAGCCAGGCAAAATCAGTCAGTGAATTAATTCCCTACAAATGCTGCAAAGAAAAAAGAAAAAAAGAGGAAAGAAAGAGAAAAAAGGGAAGCCTCGGAGAGCCGTCTTATCCCAGACAACTGGGTGGTGATGGACACAAACCATCAAGAGACTCGGCACTCTCATCATCAGCAACCAGCCACCACCCGGATTCGAACCGGGGATCTCCTGTTTACTAGACAGGCGCTTTAACCCCTAAGCCATGGCGGCAGACAGTTTTAGCTAACTTCAACCAGCAATACGTTTCTTCGTTTTCGGGGTCATATGCTAAATCCTGAAGAATGAACTACAACAGTAATAGGCCACACCAAGTTAATTCTATATTTCGCGTCGGACATTTTCTGGAAAAGGCACGTGGGCGGGCGGAAAAAAACAAAAACAGAGGAAAAAACAAAACTCCATTCTATGTGTGCTGAGCCATGTTGCACACAGAAAAGCACTGCTAAACTGACACTAATATCCAAAACAACAACAATTCGCCACAGGACAGCGGGCAGACTGCGCTGGAGCGATACAATAACAAATTTCATGGATGGCTCCTTCTGCACTTTGACACGAGTCGAGTGGAATTCCGCTCCATCACAATCGTGGCTCCATCACGATCGTGGAAAATCTCGAAGTCCTTGACACCTGAAATCTCCGCTCGCTTGGTGAGCAGGCCCTACTGTACGGGTTGGAAAAATAGAAATAATTTTAATTGTCATCGCTCGCACCTTCTACGTACCATCGCCTGGAATGCAAGATTATGGAGAAGCTGATAACCTCTGATTTGCCATAATGGCTAGAGAATGTTCGCCACAACAGCCATCGATTGACTTGTCCCAGATCTTTTTTTTCTTGTCAAGGATTCGAAAAGGTACGCGCGCGGTAACGCGAAACATAGAAATAACTTGGTGTGGCCTTACTACTAAAGTACAGTGGAACTGTGATTATGTTCACCTCACACAGCAGCATCACAACATACATGACGTAGGTATTACCTGCACGGGTAGGTGGGATTGTCACAGCGATGATTTTCTTGTCCTCCGACAGCTCACTAGTCAAGCACATGCGTGTAAGCACCGAGGACAACTTTTCCGCAGGCTCACTGCACACAGAAGAAGTTCAACAGTTCGCCATACCAAGAACAAATGATCCCTTGATAGAAACAACAATGTATACAGCACATGCACAGGATATGAGCAAAACATGTGTACATAACAAGTTTACAACACATCGCAGGTACGGTCTGCGAACGCAAGAGGTGCCATACAAGTACTGTCAAATATACAGCATACGTATGCTTACTTGATTCCCACTTTGCCGTTGATTTCAGCCACTGGTACGCTTTCAGTGCGATACTTCAGTTCCTAAGCACCCAACAGAACAATACGCATTGCATAGGCTCTGCACTGCATCAAACATGAAGTCAAGTCATCCCACCACCACCACCACCATACCACATGACTAGATGCTATGCTGCGTACACAATTGGTCCTTCCTCACAGGCGCCAGCATGCATGCAGTATAGAAGTATGCCATGCACTAGACAGCCAGCTGGTTCACAGAACACTGCACAAATCATGATTGCAGTGATCACACAGAACGATCAGATCACGAGCATATGGCCCTGACTCACCGGATATGTGCATACGGATCCATCCACTAACTGCACATCAACTGCCTCAACTCTGCAAGTTAGCAAAGAACATTAGTCATTATTAGCGAATAATTATAATCCTGTTAGCAGCCACAGTTGCGACCACCTCACACCTCATGACAAATGATTGCAAGAACGATTGGTAACAGAAACAAGCAAATCCGACAATGTTGCAAGCATGGCAGAGACATAAAAAAACTGCAATTGTCACGATGCCGTGTGACTACATGTGATGTGCAGTACTGTACTCACGTGAATGGCTCCTTGCAGTACATGCTGAACATGGTTACTAGAATGTTCAGAACAATGGTCGCCTATCAAGACAAACAGATAAACACACAGACAATTACTGCGTGGCAACAGATACATATCCACTACAAGTACATGTACTAGTAGGTCAGGATGCAATTCATTTTCATTGTTTCTCTGCATGTGCTTTCAATTGACGTCCAGAAAATGGCAGCAAATCTAGCAGTATACTCTGACAGAGAATGCATACATTGCGATGTGGATATCCGCTCCAATAAGGTACATACCTTTGTCAGATCCGTGGCAGTGCACTCGATGAAAACATTGCGAGTGTTGGCTGTCATTTTACTGTGCTCACCTAATTGGACAGGTATTGGACACGAAGAGAAAGACACCACATGTTGGTCAAAGAATGAGAAATAAAATCAATATGCATGTAGATGGTATGCTTGTCACAAAGTCTTTTTTGATTTAAAAAATCGATAAAATATAGGCCAAGGAGAAGAAGACTCTGCACATGACCGACCATTCATGGCAGTGTGACCAAGGACCAACGTGTGTGTGTGTGTGTGTGTGTGTGTGTGTGTGTGTGTGCACGTGTGTGTGGCTGCGTGTATGCGTGCATGTGTGTGGGTGTATGTAATCAGTTGTGTGTGACTAGTTATAGGTGATTATGTACGACTCCCTGCAGTGCTTTGCATGGTAACTTCAGTCGCCCTCACTGTACTAGTAACTCAATCTTGATAGTAAACTGGTAAATTTCGGTGCTTATCCGATGTACTTCAAAGTAATCACAAGTTAGATTGTTGGATTGAATGCCATCCTTGAGCCGCCCTTTCCAGCTCTTTAGCTCTCCCAACAGCAAGTCAAGCACAAGAAGGGGTTGATCGATATGCAGAGAAAGGCCACAAAACCCACATTACCATTGATGATGGGAGGCATAGAAAGCACCACACGATTCTTGTCATAGATGACTGGATAGACAGGCTTGTCCTCGATGATGTGCAAGTACTGCTTCAAGTGGCTTTCTCCCTGGGAAAGATTACATCAGACAAGTAAGAATTGACAGATGGCAAAGAACATCAACAACACAAAGGAAGACAACAAACAAAAACCATTAACAGTCTAGCCTTCCAAATAAATAATGATCCTGAAGCCTGTGTTGGGAAGGGAAGAGATTCCATTCAAATGCCTAGTGCCATACCCAGCGCTAGGAAGCTGGCTGGTACTACCATCACATGCCATCCTACACTTACATGCTGCATTGTGCAAGAGTCGTGCGTTAATTTTGTCTACAAGCAACACTACTGAATAACATCATGTACCTTGTAATGGGTCATTAGCTCCTTGGCGCTGAAGTCCTTGGTCTGTACACACACGTACACATACACGTACACATACACGTACATGCACACACACACACACACACACACACACACACACACACACACACACACACACACACACACACACACACACACGCGCACAAAGAGCAGATTTTTTTACTGGCCTAGTCTCAACATTTCCATCTAGGAATATTATAGAACTGTCCAGTGTTGTTTATTGTGACGACATCCCCCTTGTCTAGTCGAGTGCATGTGGATATGAGTATGTGCGACGTTGTTTTACTACTATTATTATTATACACACACTCAGGGCCGAATGGAGGTGAGTTGGATTATAGCGAGCAGCGGCAGGCTATGCTAAGAGTAAGAACCCAATGGAAAGAAAAAAAAGAGAAAAGAACAAGAAAAAGAGAGAGCGAGGGATGTGCAAGTCGAATTGTCTTAGGTTCACGGGAAATGATCAGAGAGATCACAAACAAAGGAAAGAAAGGTTGCCACACGATTTCAATTTTTGCGAAAGGGAGTCTCAGAAACAATAACTAATGAAAACAGGTGTAACGAAGGGTTCTTTTGTCAGTCTTCTTGTTCATCCTTTTCCCATGCATCTTTTTCAGATATGTCCTGAGTTAGTTGCTTTGTTTGTCAAAATACATAATGTTAAAAACGACAATAAGTATGTGCCCTCTGCGTTCCTGCATCCCGGGGTACGGAATGACAATCATTCCATTACAGGATACATCATGTACATCATTAACACGTCCTCTCACGATATGGCACAATGCAGCATTCAACATGTACATCAGCGTAGCAGTCCACACCTGCAAGACATGACTGCATAGGGACGATGACTACATGTACATACCTCACTGAGAGGAGTGAAGACAATCTGCTCCGGTGGAAGTGCTTCATAGGAGAATGGGCCCTCCAGTGTGTCGAGATCATGGGTGCCAATGGCCACTAACGTACGTTTTCTACACCAACATTAAGAATCCAGTCAACAACACACCAAGGAATGATAAAGACACATGGACACAGTTTTGCAAACAGTAATAGAAATTATCAGGCACTTAAAATAACAGACACGCATAAAGAATACATTACACTTGTAGTACAAGAGGGAAACAAAACACTACAGTGTAGTATACTGAGATCTGCAGAAGAAATCTGTCAAGCACTAACCTGCAGATATTCTGGTGAAGTTTGTCCTGCAGTTTGATGAAGCTTTTGAGACGTGTCTACAAAGCATGCACAGATTGACAAGGAAGAAAGAGAGAGAGAGAGAGAGAGAGAGAGAGAGAGAGAGAGAGAGAGAGAGAGAGAGAGAGAGAGAGAGAGAGAGAGAGAGAGAGAGAGAGAGAGAGAGAGAGAGAGAGAGAGAGAGAGAGAGAGCATTCCATTGTCTGTACGTTACAGCCAGTGCAAGGGCAACGACAGTCAACTCCATGAGCACTTTGAGTACTTTGAAGTACAAATATATCAAGTGACCATGATCACAGACCAAACCCGTCAAAAACCTGAGGCAAACAAGGAAAGTGCATGTACAATCATGTACATATTTTGCTGCCCCTCAACTCCTCATACATGTAAAGGTCTACTTCAAATGCCACAGTCGGTTGGCATCTTTGTCAAACTCTTCCTGTTAACGCAGTCTTCGCGCATACCAAGGGCTTGTAGATGAGTACGGATGGGAACATAGCACTACCAATAACACTCCTACCTCATCCAACTGAATGTTGCGCAGGACGGCGCCTACAACATGAGGACGGACTTTGGCTGTCTGCAAACCGAGAAAATACAGGCAAATGAACAGTTGAGCTTAGAACACAATGGCATTGCCAAGCAAAATACGGAACATTGTAGAAAACCGTGTACCAGCAAGAAGAAGAAATATCACTTGAATTGCATAGAGTATTATGGATAGACACGCAGCAGGTAGGTGGGGATCATCATGCCCTTTCAGGTTAAGACTAGTAAACAGATATCTATACCGGTAAGAAGAAGTAAGAAGAAGTGGGCAGAGTCACAGGTACAGGCAAGGTACATGTATGTGTGCAGTGTACAGGACAGCAACAACTACTATACTGTTTTCTGATGATCGCTTAGGGCGCGAAACTCGGAGTGCAAACACTTGTTTCATCCTCTTATTATTGTTTGAACCAGCTCTGCCTTTTGGTATTGAGCACTCTATTGGAGAGCCTGGAACCTCTCTGTTTGGAGAGCCTGGAACCTCTCTGTTTGGACAGCATGGACCCTCTCTGTTTGGACAGCCTGGAACCTCTCTGTTTGGACAGCCTGGAACCTCTCTGTTTGGACAGCCTGGAACCTCTCTGTTTGGACAGCCTGGAACCTCTCTGTTTGGACAGCCTGGAACCTTTCTGTTTGGAGAGCCTGGAACCTCTCTGTTTGGAGAGCCTGGAACCTCTCTGTTTGGAGAGCCTAGAACCTCTCTGTTTGGAGAGCCTGGAACCTCTCTGTTTGGAGAGACTGGAACCTCTCTGTTTGGACAGCCTGGAACCTCTCTGTTTGGACAGCCTGGAACCTCTCTGTTTGGACAGCCTGGAACCTCTCTGTTTGGACAGCCTGGAACCTCTCTGTTTGGACAGCCTGGAACCTTTCTGTTTGGAGAGCCTGGAACCTCTCTGTTTGGACAGCCTGGAACCTCTCTGTTTGGACAGCCTAGAACCTCTCTGTTTGGACAGCCTAGAACCTCTCTGTTTGGAGAGCCTAGAACCTCTCTGTTTGGAGAGCCTGGAACCTCTCTGTTCGGAGAGCCTAGAACCTCTCTGTTTGGAGAGCCTAGAACCTCTCTGTTTGGAGAGCCTGGAACCTTTCTGTTTGGAGAGCCTAGAATCTCTCTGTTTGGAGAGCCTGGAACCTTTCTGTTTGGAGAGCCTGGAACCTCTCTGTTTGGAGAGCCTAGAACCTCTCTGTTTGGAGAGCCTAGAACCTTTCTGTTTGGAGAGCCTAGAACCTTTCTGTTTGGAGAGCCTAGAACCTCTCTGTTTGGAGAGCCTAGAACCTTTCTGTTTGGAGAGCCTGGAACCTCTCTGTTTGGAGAGCCTGGAACCTTTCTGTTTACTATACTGTAGCATGTAGCATGCCCTACTCACATCTGGCTGGATTACGATTCTCTGGCGTTGACCTTCCGCAGGCTCAACGCGTCGATACTGGACTGCTGTATTTCTGCGCAGAGCATAGTAGAAAACACACAAGCCAGTAACTGCTCAGTTCAAACCAGTCTGGTAACCACTTGAAACAGGCGACAACTTTACTTACCAAATTTATCTATTCTCCTCTTCCGGTGGCAACAGGCATGACAGCCAGGCACACCAACAAGAAAAAAACGTAAACTAAAATATAAAACTCTAAATGAGATGATTTCTTCACAGGGAAGAATGACCCGAGTTTGTGTAAGAAAATCCGTACCTCTGCAGGAAGACGAGGAGTGACTGAACAAGTCCTTCGATACACAGCAAATCATACCTGCAGGACAAAACCAATCAATTACAAAAAGACATTACCACCCCTCGTCAGCAGTGTTACACTCATCAATACAACAACAAACAATGCATGCAGCAAGGCAAGATATTGGTAGAGCAGAGCAGATTTTAGAAGAAAAATAGAAAGAAAATGCGCATCAATCACAAGCAGTAGACTCTCCCGAAACCTGTAGATCTAAAATGAACACGCCTGTGACTGAAAATTTATACATCATTCGTACAGTCAATATGTAAACACAAATTGCTGGTAAGTCAAGGGTTGTAGTGCATTTCAAAGATTAAAACTGACCCACTCACATCCCAAGGGATCATTTAATGCGATCAATTGGCTGTTTGTATCAACCTCCTGAATGTAATTCAACTTCACGCTACCAAACAGGATGGGGTCCGGTAGTCCAAACAACATACCGATTCGCTGGGACATCAATCTTGTAGATAACCTCTTCAGATGCGTTTGCTGCACGATCACTACCTTGCTCCTTGGCAATCATCTCCTTCTCTGATGTCTACATTTTAAAAGAGAGAAACATTAATTCTCACAAAGAGACCAACAACATTCAAAACCACACTAAACTGCCGTAGTGGTTAGGATGATCACGGTGGTTGTGTACAGTCACTACATGTGCACTACAATTTCAGTGTACGGCATGGACAGTTTTTGAAGAAACCTACTCCCTCTCTTAGTCGTAAAATGGCAATGAATAAGATCAATTGTGCACTCATAACAGCAGCAAAAATGAAGAAAGTTAAGTTCCATAATGTTATCTCGTAGTACTGGGCATTACACAGTTGCAGAGCTGGTGGTAAACCGTATGTGCGAACTTTACTTTAGAATGTGTTTCAAAGTATAGACCATCAGACTATAAAATAGTTCATTTTCGAACAAGCGACGAGGCGAAAACAGTTTAAGAATTTCCAACTACTTTTCGTACAACTCTCATCAGGAAGAAACATTGTACTCAAGAACACAACATGTGACAGGGGGACTATTAAGTTCATATTCAGTTCTATTTACTTTTGAAAAACAGCAGTAGTAGTGTTGTCATTCACACCAGATAAATGTGTGTACGCACGATGGGGCTCTGTGAGCACGCACTCTCAATTGAGATCTTCTCGAGTAGAAATATGCGCAGTACGTGGTTTTACCACTGGCATGTGATTCTGAAGGTTTCCAGCAGTACTCCGTTTTCACGTTTTCTGCTATGGATACAAAACAGAAATAAATGCATCAAATTCGATGCGCATTCCATGTATGCATGGCTGCAATTAAGGTGGAACGCACCCCACAGAAAAATCGGCCTACTGTGTACAGTATCGCGCATCGAGCTGCATCCAGGCCGAGGAGTAAGTTTTCGACTCCGTTCTCTCGCCGTGCAGAGCCTTTGGGGCCGCGGTGTCTGGTTAGTTATTGCCAAAGAAATTCGCACGTGCGCTGAAAAAGCACAGGTTTGTGACTTTGTGTACAAAGCAGCACGGACCTTGTGAGCGGAGTCCAGGTTTCTTCGGCGACAGGTGTAAGTGCTATCAGCCATTCAAATTGTGAGACGGTTGTCGGCCAAAGCATACGATGTTGATGTGTTGCAGTAATGTATTTTACTGTATCACATATTATAGGAAATGCACATGTGTTTGACTGCTTGTTGAGATAGGAGCACTGATGGTAGTGGTGTTGCATTAACATTGTATCAGGAAAGGATAACGAGAAATCGACAAAGAAAAACGTACCACTTCATCCAACTCCAGTCCGAATTCGAAGCAGAGTTCGTCAAACTGTTCATCAGCTTAGGAAGAGATAATGAGCAACCAAGTACGTGCACACCAGCATGAATCACTGATCAGCATTTTGAAAATAAAATAAAAACTTTGCAATACTCACTGAAAGTTTGGTTCAGAGCTGCGAACAGCTCATCCCGACGCACGTCCACAGTCGGCATATTCCAATATGTGGATAGATAACCACTACTACGATCGTCTGTCAATCTATCATACACAACAAGAAACTCTTCTCTCCGGCACGACTACTACTCAACTGTTCCAGATTTCTTCCATCAGAAACACTCGATGATTGTTGAAAAACAGGCAAAAACTTTAATTAAACTTCGTGTCTGAATCATGACTTGTTTTGTTTGCGTCACACTATGAAATCGTTCGTCCACATGACGATTCACAGCACGACAGTTCACCGACACAGAGACAGTTCATGGTGCGACTGTTCATGACGCGACCACAATGCGACTGACTGGTGCCGGAATATTAAAAGGGACCACGCCGCCGATGACCAAGAGTCGATAGGCGGCATAACACTGAGGCGAAGGCCCGGCCGGCTCTTCAGATAAAGGAGGGCCATATCAGGGGGTAGTACAATACTATCAGTTACAATAATCATGATAGTATTGTACTACCCGTCCCCCTGAAATTATTAGTATTCTACAACTACACTATTTCTTCCTGGACGATGCAAAGGAGCACTGTGTGTTTGCATCTCCAGTGAACTAAAACGTGTAGATAGGCACAACGGCAAGGCGGAGGATGCCTCTCCAAATAACGAACTTGCTGCCGAGCTGTCTTATGAGGTTATGCTATACAAGTGTATCAAGCAGGCACACACAACCTGGGGTACTAGTATCCCTATACAAGTGTATCAAGCAGGCACACACGACCTGGGGTACTAGTATCCTGCATACTGTTGTTTCCTAGCTCTTACTGTCAATATGAGAATGAATCCCGTGGAAAAACCCAGAACTCATGGACGTCTGTGCACGTCGATTGCCACAGTCACACGCGCATGTGCATGCATGCAAATACGCACACACACACACACACACACACACACACACACACACACACACACGCACGCACGCACACACACACACACACACACACACACACACACACACAAATGGAAGCGTATGCGACATGCCTCCACCCCCCACCCCCACACACACATACCACATTGGGATAATTAATCTATTGCAGGCATCATACAGTATTGGCACTTAAGGCAATTTCGGGACATACTGGACCGTACAAATAATATCTCGAGTTTGCTACTGAGTAATCCATAACAGTTACATGTAGAATACAGTTCGGAGAGCAGAGGAGGTGCTAAATACAATATTCTATTTTGAAAGTACTAACTTTGAAGGATATTATACTTGAAGTCATTATCACAAAAGCATGCCCTATGCCGCCACCAGCAGAAAGTATTCACTAACTTAGCAGTCTAACCGTACCACCCCATAATACATAGGTACACCGTGCCATGTAATGATAAGTTGCATAGACATGTACACGTGGTGCAATGGGCGTGTGGTCTACATAGCCAGGTTGCCCGCACTGTCTGCCTGCAAGGGCACGGCCGGTGACTATGTGCACACCAGGGATTGGTATTGTACTACTCCCCGGTGCACACCTAGTGACCCTACTGCAGCCTGCAGTGCCAACATAATCCTATTATAATCATACATGTACAGATACAAACCCTAGTGCAAACATGGCTGGCATGGCCATCCGAAAAATGGAAAGATCGAAGAAGATCTAATCTGAAAGGTGACAACAGAAGTGTGGTCAGCACGAAGACAGTCTCTTGAGCCTAGTTGGTAAGTTAGCGCCCTGGAATCTGTCCACAGTATGCACACCGCTGACACATCGGCTTCAGGCGGTAGAACTTAAACCTGCACTTGGCGCACGCCAAGCCGTTGCAGCCCCCCTTTTTGAATATTGTACGTCTTGGTACATGTGCTTGGATTGCACGTTCCGCTTTGAGCTGAGTGAGGGCTGTTTGAATAAGATCAAGGAGCCTTGCACTGCGCTCAAGGCTCTTCGCATACTTGGAATCTGCATCAGCGTCATTATCTACCTTCTGTGATATACGGTCCATGTCGACATCACTATCCGCCGTCAGCCACGATAGTCGTGAGTCATCTACTTCCTTCTGCGCCATGGACTGTAGCACAGTATTGGAAGAGAGCATTGCTTGACAGAAGAGCCATGGACCAGCTATGGAGAGGCCGAAAAGCAGCACAGGGCAAACGTGGGCCAGTGATGCACTGATGATAGCCATGTTGCTGGGTCTGTTCCAAATCTGCACACTAAGCACATAAAGCAAGACAAAACTGAGGCGTACTTTAAAAAAATAGAACTAACTCAAACTCGCTGGACTCATTTCCTCCGGTTCAATTACATTGACACAGGTGTATGAACAGACATATACGGGAACGACAATATTAATGAACCGGAGGAAGTACGATACTGAGAAAACACAGGGCCAACGGAATTAATTACGATCTCCCATGATATTTTTGATCCATTTGAAGGATTTTGGCTTATATTTTGAACCCCGCTCTTATTCGACCATGATGAGCTCCTAATACTGCTCTAACTGTCATGTCACAGCGTAGTGACCTGTGCCTTTGGTAGTGCTGTGCTATCAACTGAGTCTGTCCATAACTCTATCCGTGACTGTCCATCTATGACTCTTATCACTGTCCACCCATTACTTGACTTGGTGATCATACCTCCCCATGCCGTGCATCAGTGACTGTGTGTAAGGTCCAAGAGTAATGCATTGTAGTCAACTTGAGTCAAGGATCAGATGCCAGGCATGCCAGCCTGACAGAGTATCTACATTACACCCTTAATTAACTGTTACACCAGTGTTGTCTCTTAGCCCACATGGACACCAGTCCATGGACAGTGTGGCATAATGAGCTGAGAGATTACTGACACTCATCTACGCTCAATCTGCACTTACCATGACAGGCTATGTTGCTAAATCCTTGCAAAAAGTGCTCACGGAAGTAGTCAATACCATGCTCAATGCTCAATCTCAATCAGTGGCTAAATCTTCACTTCAATGATACCTTTTTAATACTGTTCTCACCTAGTGATTGCATCATGGGATATATTCTCACCTATATTTCTTCCCAAGGAGAAGGCCTTAGGGTACCCCGTAAGGAGACCATAGGTCTGTGGGGACTGCCCTAGAGAAATATGAATAAATACTAAGTAACTACTACTCAACAAATTCTACTAGCATGTTCAAAACACCAAGAAAGTTGTGGACATCATGCAACTGCATTATAAAGAAAAGGGGGTTTGTCAACTGACAACCGCTCTATTCAGTTGCTATGATAGTAGACACACCCAAGTTCAGCTAGCAGCGATTAAGCGACAGATCAGGTAAAGTGTTCCACCTGATATCCGCACTGCTGCATCCCCACCCACATTTTGACATTCATTACTTTTTCGTTCTTTCGTATCTGGCTTGCAAGTGTTGAGTTTCGGAGAGAAAAGAGCAGTACGAGGCACGTGGCCTCTAATTTCCTCATTACTAAGTCTTTTAATTTCAAACGTTTTAGGGTACCCGTAAGAAGACCTTGAGTCTGTGAGGACTAGACTGTGCTATACAATATGAACAAATGATGAAAATGATAATCGATTACATGAGAAGGGCATGGCTTCTTGATCATTCACAGGGGCGTAGCACCCGCTACGACTGGTACGACCATGGCGGTACCACTTTTCGAAAAGTGTGGTGCATCTGGAACGTGCAAAACCGTGATAACAAAATCGGGACCCGTCAGATCTTTGGCTTTTGTTTGAGTTTGACTCATACTCGACTCAATACGGCTATCAGGTACACTTGGTTCACGGCAACTCTCTATTAGTGTTCTGCACGTGAACCATAAAATTCTATGACTAAAAATTAGTAAAAAATGTGCCAGAAGTACCCAGAACACAGGAATTTGTGTCTTTTTCTACAAAAGCTGTCACAAATCCGGCCCCTCAGATAAGGACCCTGTGGGTAAGGGTGGGCTTTGCCTTCACTCCCCACTAGATGTCATCAAGATGAACATAGCCTTGTGTGGCCTAGACATGTTGTACAGCTATGGTTCCAGCAACAATGGACGCTAGAATGTACAGTCTTGCTATTGTATGGTAGGCGGGCACAGCCTCACAGGTGTTTCTGTGATGAAGGTAGATTCTAGCGTCCACTGTTCCACCCACTGTAAATATGGCAACACATTTGTAACGTGTATAGTACTACATGTACATGCACTTCGAAGTACTAGTTCGAAGTTCGCTAGGTTTACATAGTCATTACATTATGCAACTCTAGCCAAGGCTACACAACGTTTGAGCGACTCAACCCCGCATTACAGCAAGTAGTATTTCAAAGAGAAGCAGATCCACTACCTGCTGTAACTAGTCTTGGCTCATGATCTTATCAAGCCCTGGGCATTGTACGCGCAGGTGCTACAACGGCTTCAAACGACTCAAACAAACACGAAATTTCACTCGCGCGTTTCGTTCGGCAGCAGATAAGAACTGCATTGGGCAGTACGGTTGCATAGCCTAGGCCAAGGCAAGAGTTCAGGAACACACATTCGTCATTCGTGACTCTCAGTCTCACCTCTCTTCCTCCGCTCCGTCCAGATCCAGGCCACAGGTTTTCCGGACGGGTATTTGATTATGCTATCCAAGACTTCTAGGGATGTGGTGACAACGGATCGACCTAGTCCTTGAGAGGAGGTCTAGACGTCTGTTAGTAAGACAAGCGTGATCGCTATTGGACGTGATTTCAAACCTGAGCTTCGTTATGGCCGTGGCTCCTTCTCCAACGGAAGTGGGACCTTTCTAGTAAAACTTGAAATGCTTGGGAAGTAAGTAAGTTCTAGGCTACTAGTATCTATAGATCTAGGGCGCGGTATATTACCGTATAATGTAGCACTAGAAGATCTCCTGGTACATGGTGGGAGATTCGTAAAACAAGTTTTGTACTGACTGTCCCACCCAGGAAGACCCTCCGCGTAGCTACAAAACTACACCTGCGGAAGTCGCGGGCACCCATGCATGCCTAGCGCCTGCCCTACAAGCTTCGCGTGATCCACGCCATGCCGATACGTAGATATAGCCTACTACTACTAGTGTCGATAGCGCCTGTCCTAGTAGGCATGCAGTAGTCTGCTAAGTGTGTCACAGTCTCGGCAGTGCCTCCCTCGATTTTCGGCATTCCGATGTCGTCCGGGGTAGCATGCAGCATTTATTATTTTTATTATCGTCGTTGGTGCATTGGTGGTATCCGCGCAGCGACGCGGACATGCGCGAGTAGATCTACTCGTACATGTCACTGAGTAGTTGGTTGGTTCAACTAAACTAAAGTATTTTAAATATTAAAGGGGAAGTTAAAGGGGAAGTATACCCTAAAATCAAATTTTCACCAGTTGTAGTCTTCTGGGTGCTGAGTCGAATGGTCTTGGTCCGAGGAAGCTGCGACGCTCCCTTCCTACTTGAATCCCAATCGAACTCGCGCACTTCCACCGAAACTGGGTGACTGCGCCCTACTAGATGGGGATTTGTATGCAAAATGTCACTAAAAGCGCCATTTCGTTCTTATAAAAGCACGGATGACCGCGATTGGCCCATATGTTGTAGTCTTTTGGACGCTGAGTCGACTGGTTTTGGTCCGAAAAGGCTGCGATGCAGCGTTCCTCCTTTATTCCCAATCGAACATGGTTGAACAAGCGGTCACGTGCTCCTGGGTGCCCAAATCACCTGGTCACCGCGCCAGCAGGTGACAACTTTCACACCAAGGTTCAACTCGAGTTCAACTCGAGTGACAGGACTGCACCCAAAAAAGGTCAAACAGGCTAGTAAGTTGTACCCTGCAGGCACGGTGACCAGGTGACTGGCGTACGCAGGAGCACGTGACCGCTTGTTCAACCATGTTCGATTGGGAATAAAGGAGGAACGCTGCATCACAGCCTTTTCGGACCAAAACCAGTCGACTCAGCGTCCAAAAGACTACAACATATGGGCCAATCGCGGTCATCCGTGCTTTTATAAGAACGAAATGGCGCTTTTAGTGACATTTTGCATACAAATCCCCATCTAGTAGGGCGCAGTCACCCAGTTTCGGTGGAAGTGCGCGAGTTCGATTGGGATTCAAGTAGGAAGGGAGCGTCGCAGCTTCCTCGGACCAAGACCATTCGACTCAGCACCCAGAAGACTACAACTGGTGAAAATTTGATTTTAGGGTATACTTCCCCTTTAAGGCAAAAACTAAAATTTCACCAGTTGTAGTCTTCGGGGTGCTGAGTCGAATGGTCTTGGTCCGAGAAAGCTGAGACGCTCCCTTCCTACTTGAATCCCAATCGAACTCGCGCACTTCCACCGAAACTGGGTGACTGCGCCCTACGAGATGGGGATTTGTATGCAAAATGTCACTAAAAGCGCCATTTCGTTCTTATAAAAGCACGGATGACCGCGATTGGCCCATATGTTGTAGTCTTTTGGACGCTGAATCGACTGGTTTTGGTCCGAAAAGGCTGCGATGCAGCGTTCCTCCTTTATTCCCAATCGAACATGGTTGAAGAAGCGGTCACGTGCTCCTGGGTGCCAAAATCACCTGGTCACCACGCCAGCAGGCGACAACTAAGTTACTTTCACACCAAGGTTCAACTCGAGTGACAGGACTGCACCCAAAAAAGGTCAAAACAGGCTGTAAGTTGTACCCTGCAGGCACGGTGACCAGGTGACTGGTGTACGCAGGAGCACGTGACCGCTTCTTCAACCATGTTCGATTGGGAATTAGGGGCGAACGCTGCATCGCAGCCTTTTCGGACCAAAACCAGTCGACTCAGCGTCCAAAAGACTACAACATATGGGCCAATCGCGGTCATCCGTGCTTTTAGAAGAACGAAATGGCGCTTTTAGTGACATTTTGCATACAAATCCCCATCTCGTAGGGCGCAGTCACCCAGTTTCGGTGGAAGTGCGCGAGTTCGATTGGGATTCAAGTAGGAAGGGAGCGTCTCAGCTTTCTCGGACCAAGACCATTCGACTCAGCACCCCGAAGACTACAACTGGTGAAATTTTAATTTTTGCCTTAACTTCCCCTTTAACTGATAATTAAAGGGGAAGTATACCCTAAAATCAAATTTTCACCAGTTGTAGTCTTCTGGGTGCTGAGTCGAATGGTCTTGGTCCGAGGAAGCTGCGACGCTCCCTTCCTACTTGAATCCCAATCGAACTCGCGCACTTCCACCGAAACTGGGTGACTGCGCCCTACTAGATGGGGATTTGTATGCAAAATGTCACTAAAAGCGCCATTTCGTTCTTATAAAAGCACGGATGACCGCGATTGGCCCATATGTTGTAGTCTTTTGGACGCTGAGTCGACTGGTTTAGGTACGAAAAGGCTGCGATGCAGCGTTCCTCCTTTATTCCCAATCGAACATGGTTGAACAAGCGGTCACGTGCTCCTGGGTGCCCAAATCACCTGGTCACCGCGCCAGCAGGCGACAACTTTCACACCAAGGTTCAACTCGAGTTCAACTCGAGTGACAGGACTGCACCCAAAAAAGGTCAAACAGGCTAGTAAGTTGTACCCTGCAGGCACGGTGACCAGGTGACTGGTGTACGCAGGAGCACGTGACCGCCTGTTCAACCATGTTCGATTGGGAATAAAGGAGGAACGCTGCATCGCAGCCTTTTCGGACCAAAACCAGTCGACTCAGCGTCCAAAAGACTACAACATATGGGCCAATCGCGGTCATCCGTGCTTTTATAAGAACGAAATGGCGCTTTTAGTGACATTTTGCATACAAATCCCCATCTCGTAGGGCGCAGTCACCCAGTTTCGGTGGAAGTACGCGAGTTCGATTGGGATTCAAGTAGGAAGGGAGCGCCTCAGCTTCCTCGGACCAAGACCATTCGACTCAGCACCCCGAAGACTACAACTGGTGAAAATTTGATTTTAGGGTATACTTCCCCTTTAATTAGTTACTTCACTCTCGTCAACAGGTACGTTGATAGTTTATTTTTACATGGCCACTGGCAGAATGAACAGGCCACTGGTAACTGAGGCATTGCTGCATGCATTAGTACAGTCATGTACTTGGACAAGACTACTGATGTAGTGCCGATACGAAGCGAGTCTGACAGAATGATGAAGAAAGGAAATGCATGGCATGAGAGAGTGACGCACGCAACGTTGCGGAGAGACAAGTACAAGTACATAGTCAGTGTAAGTTACTAAAGTAGTTCAAACAAACTTCACTGCTCCACTATCAAGCCAACTCCAGTCCAGGCATAAACTGACCATATCAAGACTGATTTTCTCAACCCTAAACTCAGGACTGGTATATTTTCAAAACTGATGTTTCACAATAAAATGGGCGCCAGGAAAGAAGCAGTAGACCGAACCCCCCCCCCTTACAAATAGGGGTATTAAAGTGGATTATGCTCGGAAACTGACCAGGTTATGCTCTAGCGGATGCTCGAGAAAACAGCCAATTATGCTCAGTTTATTATGCTTCACCAAAAAGACCAAAAGGCAAAACTGGCAAAAGAACAGATTATCGTCATGAAAAAAAGGACTCAGACGATTGTCATGATGTAGACTGGGAGCTTTATCAAGTTTATGGAAGTACGCGACAATACTTGAATATGCAAGAGGATTACCAAATTCACAAGCAAACGTTGAACTTTTGGGAGATGTCCTATAGTGGCTGCTAAAATATTATTCCAAATCGACAAGAAGTGCTAGGTATGATCCTTCAATAGCAGGTGTGTATACATGTATAACAGACTCATTGGGCATCTGAATGTATGTGCTTGACATGCTGTACCGTTGTTTTATATGCAGTCGATGATTGCGTGAGCATGAAACTAAAGTAGCAGCAAACAAGCCTTGATTGTCCTTGTTGTTCTGTTGTGTATGCAGTCAATATACTTGTTGCATACTCCAATTGTGGCCCGCGCTACTTTATTTATTATTTTAGTATTTAATAGAGCCTGTGCTCTTATTATTTCAAACAACCCTCACCCCGGGTCATTATTGGAGACCTGGGCTTTAAAATACGCTCGCTCATCGGGCCTTGACTAGCTTGGTTACTACTACTATAGTCAGTATCCCATCAAGCCCGCCCAGGAGCGCTTAGATTTACTAGTATCGATCGAAGAATGAAGTAACATACATGTAGTTGAAGACACCACTGCAGCTGTACTTATGGTTGATAAATATGGTGGTAAAGACACACCTGGCAATATTGCGGTAAACACACGCCTGTCTACACACGCTCTCTAGGCTGCAAAGTTCTGGCACAGAGCTCTCCTTCAAGTTCTCACCACCACCACCATCAGTTCGCGCGCCTGGCGCCTGGTCGATGCATGGTTGGCGGTACTAGTATCCGGCATAGCAGGCTGGCACATCAAGAAGTTAGTAGCGCATGGCACATAGAAGATGACACAGCAACGACATAGCTCGATTGCGACGTAAGTAAGTTTCGTCCCCGCTGGCGCTGGACTCATCAGGCAATCTTCTTCTTCTTGGATGTCTTCATTCGGAGCTTGACTCGGGAGAATGAAGTAAGTTGAAGACACCACTGCAGCTGTACTTATGGTTGATAAATATGGTGGTAAAGACACACCTGGCAATATGGCGGTAAACACACGCCTGCCCACACACGCTCTCTAGTTTATCAACCATAAGTACAGCTGCAGTGGTGTCTTCAACTTCATTCTCCCGAGTCAAGCTCCGTATGAAGACATCCAAGAAGAAGATTGCCTGATGACTCCAGTGGGGACGAAACGTACCTCGCAGTCGAGCTATGTCGTTGCTGTGTCATCTTCTATGTGCCATGCGCTACTTGATGTACGTACCAGCCTGCTATGCCGGATACTAGTACCGCCAACCATGCATCGACCAGGCGCCAGGCGCGAACTTAACTGATGGTGGTGGTGGTGAGAAGTATGGAATCAAGCAAGAGTACGAGTGTGAGATCGCCTAATCACAGCCCGCCGCGCGAAGCGCGAAGGGCTGTGATGCAGGCTGATCGAGCACGAGTGCGAGTGTTTTGATTGCATTTCTGACATGCACCCACGCTTGAAACTCATATCGAACTTGTAAATACTTCGCGAAGAGCTGTGATTGGCTGATAGAACATGAACACGACTGTTTTGATTGGATTTCTGACAAGAACGCGCACTTCGATCTTCCTATCGTGCTTGAAAGCACGACTCTCAGCCTTCTCGAGCCCGAGTCGAGTAAAAAAAAAGCGAGCTTGATCAGTGAATCAAAGCCCTAGTGGAGCGGGCTTTGATCGTAAAATCAAAGCCCGCCTGGGCGGGCTTTGATGGGAAAATCAAAGCCCGCTCCACTAAATATGGAGTTCTACTTCTTGTAGCATGCTTTGATCGCCTCATCTAGGCCCTGCTAGGTGCAATGCGATTGGTCATCTCCGTGCCTACAGTCTTGTGACATGTCAGAACTAATACTTGAAGGAGAGCTCTGTGCCAGAACTTTGCAGCCTAGAGAGCTAGAGCGTGTGTGGGCAGGCGTGTGTTTACCGCCATATTGCCAGGTGTGTCTTTACCACCATAAGTATCAATCGAAATGCAGTTTAAACAATCATGTACATTGTAGTTCTCAAAACAGACTCAGTCGTGGTGTCTGGTGATGTTCCATAGGCCAATCACAGCCCTTCCCGAAATACACTGTAGTACTACTAGTCTACTCAGTAGCGAAGCAGCTGGTTCGATACGCGTGTATATTCGTGTACGTGTGTGCATATGAGAACTGAAGTGTACTCAAACCTCTCGCGCTCGTAGGTCTACGAGTACCGGTAACACAACAACGGTGTATACATGTAACAGTCTCTTGTTCGATCAGCCTAATCACAGGCATCACAGCCCTTCCTGCTAGGCGATCTCCCATTCTTATCGCACTCCACCATTCTCCGGATCCGGAGTCAAGCTCCATCCGAAGACATCCAAGAAGAAGAAGATTGCTTGATAACCCGGGACGAAAAGAGAAGGAAAGCTCTGTTACTTAGCAGCTTTTAACCTAGCGGAATTCACAGCGGCGTCATTCCACGTCGCCAGGTGTGTTTTTCAACCAAAAAGGTCACTCACGATTGAAAAGAAGTGAAACACGTCCAGGAGGCTCAGGCCAGGGTACATGGCAGCACACAGCCGCCTTCTTGGCAAGTCGACTTATCAGATAGGATGATTTTCTTGATTTTTAGCGTCAATGGTGAACAGCTGTTTCCGACATTCCACCTGCATTATGCACTCATTTATGTGCCAAACTGCAGAGGAGTTATGAACATGAGGCTATGTCTACACCTAGGCTAGCGCCTATCATGCTATGACTATTACTATTAGTATTAGAGCCTGAGGAGAGTAGATGTTGAACGAAAAGGGCTGGTTAAGATACCGGTACTGGTGATACTGATGCGTTCCCACTATCCTATGGAACGAAACAAGCTTGTCAGGAGTAGATCTACTAGTAACTACTTGCTGTTCTGGAGTGTTGCTGGAGTGTTGCTGGAGTGTTGCTGGAGTGTTGCTGGAGTGTTGCTGGAGTGTTGCTGGAGTGTTGCTGGAGTGTTGCTGGAGTGTTGCTTGTGAGCTGTTCGTGGTGAACTGTTCGTGCTGGTGTTCACAAGCGTCGTGTGGTCCCGCCTGGTCGAAGAAAGAATCGTTTTTTTTATAGTACTATGAATCGACGGACCAAATGAAGATGGCATCATCATCGACTTGCACTAGTACAAGTACTGTATTACTGGTATAGTTACCTGAGTAGGGTGTCTGTGGTGGGTTTCGAATTAAGTGTTACTAGTACTTTCGAACGACTTTAGTTTTACAGTAGTGGTAGGAGGAATGTCCTGGAAGTGCACGCCGCCCGAGGAAATAATGGTATCAAGGCAGCACTTTGAGTCTGTGCCACCGGTCAGCTAGTCGAGCGTGGCGCGGGCTTGCCAGTGTCTGAACCAACCAGGTAACTACTGGTTGCTGATTTTGATGGATCCTTTAGGCTTCAGGACCTTTTCTTTGAAGTGTTCAATCACACATGTAATTGTTGTATCACTGACCCTGGCTGACTGAGATACCAGGTCGCAGGTGTGTACCTTGTCTCTGAGTCGTCTAGACATCGTCCTTTCATCAAGCATACACTGATAGTATTAAATTAATGGTGTACTGCTCCCTGCTTTACATCATCATCATGATCATCACTAGGGGTAAGCAGGGAGTCGTAAAATATAGCATTTCGTTTGATTTTGATAAAATTCGGGGCAGGAGTTTGGGGATGAATGCGAGGAGAGTGACTGGATCATTGTGGGCGAAGAATTAAAAGTGACCGAACATAGAGACACATGGTTATATGCTCCAGATGAAGATGAGTGAATACTAATTGCCCCGACTTTTCGACGAGTCTGATACAGGATCCGACTCGAAGAAGCAAGCGAATAACAGTGATGATAAAGCGATGGAGCCATTCCCAAAACAGAACATCAACCTCCAAACCTCGGGCAAGACGTCCTTCATGAAACTGTGCTCTCTGGCAAAGTTGGTAGACAGTGAAAAGTGTGTTGCACCAAGCAAGCCCGAAATCATGCAGTCGGTTGTTGCTTCGCAAGTTGGCGGGCTTTTCCGGGATATTCACAATTTTGAAGATGGGGCAGATGCATGATTCGCATTTATTGACCAGAATATGATCCATGTCATGATCAAATGCACAAGGCAGGAAGGAAAACAGAAAATTGGAGAGGACTCTACTTTGAGTGAAGGCAATATCATGGCATTGGTTTCGCAAATTTGAGCAAGAGACGTCCTCTGTACCCGCAATAATCTGCCGACGGCTGGATAGGAATGGACGCCATATAATCAAGTAAAATTCCTAGAAATAGTTTCCAGGAACTACTCTGCCACTTGAGGAGTGATCACGAAGTTGGTCTCCGGACACGACGGCGTACGGAAATCATTTGTATGCGATGAGTCGCGACACCACTTTCTCCTTTCGCTCGTAAATGTATTTATCACAGCAGTCAAAGAATGACCAACCTGGCCGAGGAAAATCCAGCAAATTGGCAAATCAGCAGCCATTTCCGGAGTAATGGACAGAAATGTAGAGTTTGCATGGCAAACAAAATTTATGCTCTTTTATTTTTCCGTTAACTAACGAGATGTCGCCCTTTCGCTGCGGGCAATGCCAGCTGTTTGTCTCCAAGATAGTGCATCTGTAATTGGTTCTTTCTTTTAAAAGGTACCCTTTACCCCAAGGACTTCCGTTTCTACACATATTGCCAAAAATAATACCAAGCAGGTGTGTTTAAGTCCGGTGGAGTCATAATTAAAAAAATTATGATGCCTCCGGTAATTCTAGGGTAGTTGAAATTTTGGTAGTTCTAGGGTTAACACACACAGTAGTCATTACTTTTCTGAATGATCAGGTCGCTAGCTAGCTGTACATGTGGTAGAGTTTCATCCACTTCTAAAACTTATTTTTATGGTGGTACTGGCACATACTCAGTATGCCATGCATGCAGCAAACACTTGGAGGGAGGTGACAGGGTTGAAGGGCGCACAGTCAAGCAACAGGAGAGTGTGCAAACTGCAAAGTCTCCTACTATACCATGCTATACTGGAATGCACAGTCTGTTGCATGGAGTCAAGTGCATGTAAAAGAGCTACTTCGAAAGTAATTGAAGACATTCTTCGTGTTTTTACGGAGCGTTCAGCCATTTATGGGCTCTCTTAGTGCCTGCACAGCCCACTCGAACTGAAAAATCTCAGGACTGCATCCACTGGAGATGATACTTCAAGTGGAATCCAGAAAGCAGAGCAGTGACAGACTTCTACACTGTAATCGCTGCCGTTTCCTTTTTTTCCTTTCAACTTCAAGTGCTCCCAGTGTAGTCGACTGACTGTGACAGTTCAGCGGGGTGCCATTCTTACCGACTGTGACAGCCACACAATCACTCAAAAAGAACAATGTCGACATAATTGTTACATGTCTGTAACAGTCATGCTAGTCCTAGGCCAGGGCGAAGTCTCATTCCGAAGCCACTACACATAATGGTAACCTTTAATTTTCTTTTTCTTTGACATTCTTTATCGACTGTGACAGTCACATAATTACAATCTGAATTACTCTCATGATACTCTCATGATAGAACTTTGTCTCTGTACCATGTATCATGTGTACGCCCATCGCAAGAGAAGCAAGCAAATCTGCAAAATTAATGCACTGGATGTGCACCCACAGATTTTCTCTTATTGCAAGCCATGTCTCTGTAACAGTTATGTATACTTTCTGGCCTGAGCTGAGGGTGAGCGAGAGAGATATGTACAAAAAAAGCAGACCAATCACTACCTGTATTTTTTTACTAATACCTGCGAACATAGCCATTTATTGTCATAAAACATTCCAAAATGGTATATAAACGTTACACGGGCTGCAAAACTAAAGAAACAACAGCTAGAACCTAAGATGAAATGCGGACTGTTTGAAGAATAAAATGAAACTGTACCTAGAAACATGACTGTGTGTTGTGTTATTCAAATGGTATGTTTGGGGGAAGAGCGCTGGTGTACCTTCAAACTAAGAACTTAGAACGCAACAAAATTAACTGACTTGCCGAATACTTTACAAACAGAATCAACACCTCGCAAATCAACAGAGAAGACGCATCAGCAGGACAATGAACAAACATGGAATGTAGACCTCAGACGGAGTAGAAAAGCTATGCAAAAGGAGAACAGATGGACAGAAACATCATTGATCAAAAACATGCCCAGCAAAGCCCGTGGGCACAGATAAGTAGTACAAAGAGCACGAGACATATTGAAGTACATACTAATGTCTAATTGTACGGTGGTGGTTCGCTTGCATTACATATTCTGCTACGTAGTAGAAATGCTTCTGGGCGTTATTGTGCGTTTCAGTGTGAAGCGCACATGCCTGCCCGACGCAGAGCCACTCGATTGCTGGGAGCTGGACAGCGGCTGAGATTGCGATTGAGATAGATCAAACGGCTGTGAGGATGGAAGCGGTTGTGAAGCGCTGACTTCCTCCTCGGGCGCTTGTTGAGACACCTACACAGGAGGAAACACGGCAGAAAGCCCAGGTATGGACAGATCAACTGCTCACTCACTACGGTCTTTCTTTCTTCTCTTCAATAAGAAATCATTTCCTACGTCTAAAGACTCCATTAGGAACCTCATCTAAAGTTACTGAAGGCCTCTTACCAGTCCAGTGGTGCTAACTCAGGAGTAGAGGAGGCCTCTTGCAGTTTTATTCCGTAGGAAAGTATTTGAGCTGATAGGCTCTTTTCCACCATTCTACTAAGGCCGCGGTCACACCAAGCAAAATTCCGCCATTCCGCGCGGAATTTTTCCGCGGTTTCCATGGAAATGGCGGAAAGGCGGACACTTTCCGCTGGCAGAATTCAGCCAGCAATTGGCTGGCTGAATTCCGCCGAGTCAGCCAGGACGCCGTTCTGCGTTTTTTCTTGAGTTTTTGAGGAAGGGAATCAGAAGGCATTTCGTTGCCGTCTACTGATATTATTAATAATTTTTGGGTTCCGACCAAGGAAAGCACGCGAGAAGAGCAGGACAGACTTGCTTGATTATTTCCTTCAACCTTCCGTTCGAGTTTGCAGTAGCCCCGTATGTTTGTTTGATTATTTCCTTCAGCCTTCCAATTAATCTGCGTCCTTCGTTCGCAGTATTGTACCTGCACTGAGGAGTTTTGTCGCCGTGTCGCCGTGATCATGTGGACTCCGGACCTGGAAACGAAACCTGTCGAGCTATGGTTTGAGTCCAAAACTCGCCACAAGGTAATGAAGAAGGAGTCGAAGAAGCGAGACTGGATTCTTGTCAGACTTCGCCTGTACCACGAGGACATGAATGGGAAGAAGGCCCAGTGGCTGGAGGAGTTCACGGAAAAACAGCTGAAGAATAAACTGGATTGGGTGCGGAAAATGGGGAAAAAACTTGTTGGGCAAGCATGTGTATCCCCGTTTGGGCAGACGTACCAAGCCCACCGGTTCTGCTGCCGATTCTGATGACGACCGTGACGTGGAGCTGACGGATGCTGATTGGGAGGCCATCATTGGGGAGTGCAGTTGGCCACCAATCCGCTCGTTTTTCGATCTTTTCAGAGATCACCCAACGATGGGGTTTGGGTTCTCAGCTGACACTGTGGAGGTTGATGATGGCGATGTCCATGTCAGCACAGTTCCGGCAACAGCAGCAGCAGTTGCACATACTAGAGCACCAACAGCAGCCAGTGCTTCAGCACAGCGTTCGTCAGCATCCTCTGCCTCATCTACTGGCGGTGTGACACCAGTTCTGTATGCGTCATCTACAACTGAAGCCAGTGCTGGATCAGTGCTGTCATGTTTGCCAGTTGATGACTGGAATTCATAAAAGTCCCGTCAACGGCGCCGATATGCGATGCGTGAGCTTGCTGATGCAAGGATGTCGTGTCACACTTTGGTAGGCGTGTGATGTTTGACCTTTAGGCGGTGCACAGTGTGTAAGCTGCAATTGCTGCCTTTTATAGACTACATGTCATGTACGGCTTGCTAGTACGGTCCACGGCGCGGGTTGTACCCCGCGCTGCGGTCGATGTGCGGAATCTTTGAACAACTAGTCCGGCTTTTCTTTTGGTTCGAAACATTCTGCATGCGGGTGCTTTGCTTCTAGTTTTTTTCACAGTGGCTTTTTTACAGTTGACAATACCTGAAGATAGTTGAAGAAGAAACTAATCTTATGTCTGGAAGCCCCAGGGCTAAGGTGTGTTCAGTTGCAGCTCGGTTGCTGGTCAGCCGTCCGCGACAGTAGATTGCATGTCAATAGATTGTTTCCCGACATAAAGTAAGTCGATAATTGGTTTTCTGACGTCGCAGGTGCGGGACCATTCTACTGTGTAGCTTCCAGAAGGCTACTTTCGTCATTCTCAGATGCTGGCGATACTGGTCGTCCTCCCAGTCTCTGACATTCCAGTTTGCGCCCATTATGTCCCAGTTCCGCAGAACTTCCATATCCCAAGCACCTGGACTTCTCAATGCAGTCCAGAACCTCCGCTTCCTCTTCAAAGAAAAAGGGAGAACACCATCGCAATGCTGGCCCAAGCGAAAACATCACTGTCCTCCTCAAAGAAATCGGCCCAACGAGGCCTACTCAATCCTATTTCACTGCTGGGTAGTCTTGCCAGCAGGCCTCCAGCAGGCGCCTGCACTTCAGGAAATACCGTAAAATTCCGTAAATAAGCCCACCCAAAATAACGCCCATGTCCGATAATAAGCCCAGTTTTAGGTGGTGTACACTTCAAGTCCGTTTTAGCGCCCATGCCCGAAATAAGCCCAGGGCGTAAAGTGGACTCAAAATGACCAGCGCGCGAGCGTGCGTTCGAGCACAAACTGTAGAACAGTTGTAGATCGAGTGCGTGCCATCCAACTGCACGCAGCACAGTGCATCTATCTCATCTAGTTTTCTGCCTTACCTGCTTCAGCGTCACGACGTTTTCAGCCATGCCGGTACCTGTTGTGCCTTGTACTTACCATAGCAAGTGGTTTACCTATCAAATCTGTAATTTATCGCTACATTCTTGGTTACGACCAAATTTCCAGCTGTGGTTTGATGTACCTGTACCGCGCTCAGTGTGAATGGTGGTTCACTGAAACTAGTGGGTTGCTGATAGATTGATCTTCTGCAGATTGTGTCCGAAATAACGCCCATGCCCTAAAATAAGCCCATGCCCAAATATACGCCCGGTTTTTGACGCTCTGCAAAGTATACGCCCGGGGCTTATTAACGGAATTTTACGGTACTATCCTGAGCATGGACTCAGTGACCAAAGCGAAGGCAGTTGCCAAGCGTTGTTTGCGTGTCAAATTCATCGCAGCAAACAAGTGAAACACACAAAAAACCTGACAGCAAGTTGTCCAAAATTGCAAAAGACGAGAGGCTGAATGAAGGAAATCACTAGTAACGAGTTTATATTTCTCGCGCAAACCCATTCCGCCAGTCCGCGCATGTTGGTGTGACCGTGCAGGGAGCGTGCAGAACGCCACTTCAGTCTGCGATTCAGCTGTACGCGTTTCCGCCAGTTTTGGTGTGACCGGGGCCTAACACTGAACACAAGTTTCATGTTGATTTGATAAGCGCTTTAGATTGTCGTGACCTGATGATTGCAAAATCACTGAACATTGTTCAAATCGACGTGAACACAAGTGCGGTGTTTGCAGAGTGTTGAGAAAGAGATTGTCAGCTCAAACACTTTACTACATGGGGTAACATTACTAGTGGTAGTGTAGTGATACACTCCAGAAATGTAAACTGAGCTAACATTTGAAGTGTACATTTAACCTAGATCCAGCTGCTCTACTTACTGGTTCAGTAGCGGTCTTGGCAGCCACTTCTGCTGCTCGAGTTGTCAGCAGGGACTGGCGAATATCAGACATGTTACTGAAAAAAGCATAAACAGAAGAGAGCCACATGCATGTACGTACATGGAAACAAAATAAAAGGAGACAGTGCGCTGTTTCGCTGTACACAAAACTTTAGTTACACACACGCACGCACGCACGCACGCACGCACACACACACACACACACACACACACACACACACACACTGACGTACTGCCATCACCAGGCAGCATATTATCCCGTATTCCTGTCTACACGTACAGCAATGCACTCAGGTGCACAGAGCACCTTCCCGAGTTGCCCCAACTGGCCCCGATTGTTACAGCTAACAGCCCATGAAACAACGGTCGGACATCGGACATTTTCCGACCGTTTCCGGTCGTTGTCCGGGCGAAATAACCATGCGATGGACAAAGTGTCGGATCGATCCGAGACAAACTCCCTGTACAGCTGTGCGCATGTGCCGGAATCAGAAATAGCGAGTTTAGGGAAGAGGAAAGGTGTCAACGATGGTGCTCCTCCAGGCAAGAAGCTCCGTGGTGTGCGTGTTGTCACTTGTGACACGTGGATTGCTGAGTACGACAAGGAGTTTTCCACATCCATTTGGTTGCAGTATGATAGATGCAGAGATGGTCGTGCTGTGGTGGAGTGCATAAAACGAAAGGTATGTGTGCGCTTCGCAGAGAAGATATGTTCTTCTAAAATATTCTCTGAATCATTCATTGTTGGGTCTCGGAATTTGAAAACGTCGGCCTTCAAAGACCATCCTGCATCCGACATGCACCAGCGGGCCATGGCTTTATTTCAAAAGGAGAAGGCTGGTGGAGATCCACTCCGATGCGCGCCAATAGCTCAGGGGCTGACGAGAATGGATGATGCGACTGCAAGTAGGACTGGGAGTAAGTTTGAGATCACGTACGTTTTGTGCAAGGAGGGCATGGCCTTTGCAAAGACGGAGTCGTTATGTCAGCTGGAGGAAAAGCATGGAGTGGATCTAGGCACGGACCACAAAAATCAGAAAGCTGCATCACGTTCTGTGATTACACCGGACAGTCGCTGCAGCAGGAGCTACGTATGAGCCTTGACAAGGCCAAGTTTTTCAGCATTCAGACCGACGGCAGCACTGATGCAGTCAACATTGAGGAAGAGTTGTACGTGGCTTTGTTTTGCGACACAGGTGGTCTGGACAGGAAAATTCACGTGCGGAGTCAACTAGTCGGTGTTCTTCAGCCTGCAACTGTTGATGCAGATGGTCTGATGACTTGTTTTTTTCTGATCGTGCCATGGTGAAAGATGAGCTGGACCCTGAGTGGAAGATGAAACTCATTGGCATTGGCTGTGATGGACTGACTGTCAATATGGGATGGAACAGTTTGCGAGGGAAAGTGGCCGAAGCTGTTCCCTGGGTAGTGCCGGTCTGGTGTGTTGCACATTGCTTGGATCTCTCGTTGCGAGATGCACTCAAAGTAACTTTGTTTGACACAGCGGACGAGCTGTTACTGCGTGCCTATTACCTCCACAAAAATTCGAGTAAGAAATGCAGTGAATAGGATGATGTTGCACAGTCGCTCCGTGAAACACTCGAGCCTTGTGACATGCCTTCGGCAGGGGGATCGAGGCTGCTGCGGGCTTGTGGAACCCACTTCATAGGTCACAAGGTAGCTGCTCTGAAGCGGTTAGTTGATCGTCTTGGTGTGTGCATCACTCACCCGAGGAGTCTGACAGAGGCACCGTCGACAAAGCCAGCTAAAACAGCGCGATTGCGAGGGTACATTCGGCAAGGTACTGCTCAGTTGCGCATTCTTTCTCGATCTGCTCACTCCAGCATAGGTTCTTTGCAAATCCCTTCATTGAAGCGATGTGGACTTCACCTCTACCATCAAAGCTCTGCTCAAGACCAGTAAATTAATCAGTGGAATCCATCACCAACACACACCTTGATGAGCTCCAAATTGTCAAGAAAGTCAAATCACGCTTGCCAGAAGAGGATGGGAAGGTGCTCTATCAGGGTGTTGAGATTTCTAGATGCAGCAATGGCCACGACCAAGTTGAGGCCATACAGGCGGAAGTATCTCACAAGGTCATATCCTGCATAAGTAACGAGTCAGTGGCAAGCACAACCAGCTGCTAACAGATACGCTGACAGCATTAGCAGCTCAGAGCTGGGACCAGCATGCTGATGGCTCATTCGCATTGATGGCAATTAAATGATTGGCTGAGCGATTCCGTACGCTGCAAGAGCATGCAGGGGTTGATCTTTCAGCACTTCCTGACACAAGGCACACGTGCACCGTACATCGTGGAACAGCTACCAGCATATGGGCTTGACTTCGTTTTTGACGACGAATCATGGAGGTCAAGTCCGCGTGACGTCACTCGGTACTTCGAGACGATTGTGGGCACCTTCTTTTCAAGTTTTCACCCACTTCCAGTCATCGCAGAGAAAAACGAAGTGTACCATTGTGATCAGGAGCCAAAGAACTACAAGATAAGACAAAGAAACTATTTGGTGACAGTTCCCCATCACAAACAACATGATCAGAGGAGACTAGACAAGCTATTAGGCACGGACTTTTCCTTGTTTGGCGTGCTTACAAGGTGTACACATATTCATGCCCGGGCAGGAAAGGTCCACGAGCAAGGTTATTCTCTTACCCGCCAAGATGCTTCACTTCATTCAGCAGCTCAACAGCATCTGCAAACTGTTTCACCAATCTGTACGAGTTCATGCCTTTCACCTGTGCATGTAAAACAAAACACAGCAACAACCATTCACAAAGGCCAAAGAGCAGAGCGCAGAGTGCGGAGAAGAAAGAAAGAAAGAGAGAGAGAGAGAGAGAGAGAGAGAGAGAGAGAGAGAGAGAGAGAGAGAGAGAGAGAGGGAGAGAGAGAGAGAACTTGCAGTCAGTGGCAATGCCATTTTAGTCTTCACTCAGATGAAGTAGTCCAGGCGATTGTCAAATACGATGCTGCAGTCCTGGGTAGCGGTGAATACAGAGGACATGGTGCTGTCCAATCATTGCAACCGTATGGCTGGTGCTGGCGAAACATGCTCAAACATCGGTGAAAACTCCGTTCTTGATCGCATATGAGAAACACATGCTGTCATGCAGTGCCGTACCCCCACTCCTGGATGCCATCCAGTACCAGACAGGTAGATACTGATATTTCATCCCTCCAGCTGACAAGCAGAGCAGATCTCAACTATAGTACACGTCGCTCCCCAGTGCTTCCCATTATATCTGTAAATATATTCTTGGCTCAACATCTTGAGTTCACAGGTCCGTCTGCGGAATTTGTAGAAAAAAAGAAGAGCTGAAGCAAGCCAAATATTATTTTTGGTTTGCTTCAGCTCTTCTTTTTTTCTTGGTCTTCAGGTGACACATGATCAACAATCGGGAGCCATACGTTGGAGACAAGGGTGCATCACTCTTCACCCCATCAACAACATGTTGCGAGCAGATAGCGGTGCTATGGTGAGGCAGACAAATGTGGCACATGCAACAAGGAGAACAGTTGCCATGAAATAAAAAATTAGAATGTATGATCAAAAGCTATGCGACGCATTGTACGGATTCTCAAGTTCAGCAAGGCCGAGAATGAGCTTGAGTTTCAGGAAGATACATGTACATTGTGCTGCTACCTCCCCATGGGAGTACTCAGTATGCCAGACACATACCAAAATCTCCCTGCACATCTTCTACTACACGAGAGATTTACAAAGAAGGCACAGTAGCTATTACGACTCACCGCAATAGTATAGATTTGATCATCGTCCTCCTCTTCCTCAAGCAGGACAGACTGCATTAGTTTCTGTGATGTTGTGGTGGCTGTAAACAAAGCATGTTTCAGCAGAACATTCCCAAGGCAGTAGTAAGTCAACGAAACTGACGAAATCCACAAGGGTATGTTCAACTTTCAATTCAATTCTGGGCACATCATTGTTCTTATCAACCACCACACCACACCGCTGCGCTCTCCGGCCGACCTCAACACGTTGCCACCGCACACCATCAGCAAAACGACACTTCAGTTGGTACTCTGCTCCTTCAGACAGCAGCTGTTTCGATCATCAGGATCTCGCCAGTGAAGGTTGATAATGTAGAATGGCTAACAGATAGTGAACTTCACCCTTTTGTGCAGCGGTGTGGTGTGGTGGTTGATAAGAATCTGGACAAGGCCGAATGCTGCTACTTACCCCTCTTGATCACACATCATTGTTGGCCCATTAATCTTGACTGCACATGTATGAAGAGCTTTGCTATTAATTTTAGTGCATTTCATAGAACAGCTGCTTTCCACAATTATTGGTGAGATCTTCTATTCTAGTCGTTGGCATTTTCTTGGCGCCATCAGATTCCCCTTCTCTTCACCATTCTGCACATACTCGTACACTTTATAAGTTTATATCCGCTAGAAGCAAAGTTTTTGATTTCAGCCGGGTTTCAGGGTATGTTCTTTGTGAGTTTGACTTGCTAAACCGGAGACTCTAGGGATTTTAGATGCCAGCGCTGTTTGTGCACAGTACATACACATGCTGCACGGCAAGAGTTTAAGGGACTTCATGTAATGAAGTCTGTATGAAGGTCTCATGCAGGACTGCAGGTGCACGTGCCTGTGTTTTGCACAACTGTACAGTGCAAAGCACTCTTTAACAAAAAAAACTCCTGCAGCAAACAACGCCTGCGTATGTATGGGATGGTGGTGGTGGTGGTGGTGGTGATATAAGTGCAGCTGGACTGTGCTCTCTGTCGCGCTAGCTTTCTATTCTACTCTGCAATTCCCTCCTACATGGGTAGGGTTTCTAGAACTTTCTTCCAGCATGCTGATACGATGTCGGTCCTTACATGCACAGTATAACGTACCTCCAGGGACCGTAAAAATCTGTCCTTTATAATAAACCAAGGACCGAGGTACTGTAAATCCAAGGAAAAAGTGACCGGTACAGCATGAATAGGCTGCATGGTGCTAGTAGTAGTCAAAAGTAGTACCTCATACCCGAAAGTACGTTAGATCCAAGGTACTTTACACTGGACTGTTCACTGCTGTGTGAAGCCTCATCCAAGTGCCACTAGAGTGACTATACTATACTACTCACCAGGCGCAGACTGAACGACAGCGGCAGCCTCCGCTACATTGTTTGCGCTGGTACTTGAACTGGCACTAGTAGATGAACGCCCTCTCCTTTTCTTCTTCGGTGGTTCAGGAGTGGGAGCCTCCTCATCGGCACTGGGCGCTTCACGATTGCCACCCTGTTCCTTTATCCGATCACGACCCGGACACGCACACAATCGAACTTTTAACGTAGCTCGCCCGTACACCAGGCCTCTGTAGAGGAAAATTCGCACGGTGCCAACAACACCCGGCCATAAGCCAAAGGAGAGCAGGAGTCACACAAGTGAAAGCAGCAATGATATCCATCAAGTTGTTATGGAGCACCCTATGTGAGCTCTCCCCCACAGCGCGTGTTAGAGTTTTCAGCCACCACGAGCCTGCGCGGTCGACTGGGCCGACCCAGGACAACTCTCCTCTCAGCTCTTTCTCAGGACTGCCTAGTCCGACTCGGCATTTGCCTGGGCACGCTTAGAGGCCTTAATCAGCTGCGGCAGTTGGCAGGGGATAAGTCACGGTGGAATGGCACCCCGCGGCACTCATCTTCCTCTGCCGAGCCGCGTCCTTGACTTATCCCCTGCAGGGTGAACATCACGAACAGTCTACCGTCTTTCTGACATTGCCAATCGAACTTGACAATAGAAGCAGCTTTCCGTATGAGCAGTTACATTGAGCCATGGTGTTTTTTATCTTATTTTTGTGAATCCTTCCCGGAAGCAAATGCTGGTTTTTATACATTCGTGTAATTACTCAGCGTTATTTGCAATAAGTATAGATTATAGACCGGTTAGGAGGTCTATATATCCTGTATAGACCAACTATGAGGTCTATAATCTATTTATCGTGTTCTCCACGCAATAGTTTCTCTTCATATACGACATACCCTTGTAAGTTGTAATTCTAGTATTATACTATAGCCTATACCGCATTGTACGGCATTGCAGGATCAAGGTCATTGTTTAAACTAGGTTCGGCATCGGTAGCACAGTGGCTGGGTGGTAAGGAAGAGTAACTGAGATTCACATAGTTGTGGGTTCAAATCCCATCTTGTGTATTTCTGCTTTCTTCAAAAATTTCTTTTTCTAAGTTGGAGAGAAAATTTCTAAGTCCAAGAAATTCTAAGGAGTCAAATATAAGTAGTCAAATATATTGTGTATTTGACTAAGCAGTCAAATACGCGATATATTTGACCGCTTAGGTATCAGGGAAATTAGTGGGGTCAAATACTAAGAAGGCGATAATAATAATAATATGTGAGCCTACTACTTGTATACCTGCAGTGTAACAAGAAAGTACTTGTACTTCATAGATCTGATGAGTGGTGGTGTGCTAAACTCACAGCCAGGCTGCATTTACATGAGAGTTTTCAGCCCGGGTCGAGTTCGGCCCGGATCAAGTTCCAACCTGCCATGATCACAAACTGAGTGGAGCGTTTACATGATGCATTGCGCTGGACCCGGGTTGAAATTGAGAATACGTACCACCGTCCTTATGTGCATATTTCATTTCGTGCCATGGTTGCACAGCAATTCACACGCGAATTTCCCACGAAAGTAGTCACATGACCATGCTAGTCTAGAAAAATGGACTTTTGTCGGCATATCAGTAATCGACCAGGCTGATTCTCTTCACGTACATATCGTCCAATTTTTTTTGACCGTACAGGCTTTCAACTCGGATGAAAATTCTCATGCAAATGCAGCCCACCAGCAAGACATTCATGTACCCTTCTCTGTATCATAAGATTAGTATGTGCATAAGGCTGTGCATCCAGGTGTTTCAATCACTCTCTTGAACTACCATAACACGCTCCCAAGTGTACATACTCGTACACCATATGCATGCACCAGCTATACAACATGTATCAGTATCAGTTGTCGAAGTTTGGGGCGAAAATGAACTTACTGATTTTCGAGAGTGAATATGATGGAAATGGGCCTACGATTCATGCCGCCCTTGCAGCTTGAATGGCATGCAAACCGATAAACGACTGTCATGCTAGGATGCTCCGGATCCACTGGATAAACAGATGGGAATTAGCAGACCGGCACATGACACAGTTACTGAAGTACTTCAAAACAGAAGAAGTACAACGTATATATATACATGTACAGACAATGTTAGCTTTCATTTTGAGTTCAATGACTAGCGAAAAGAACCCTTGTTCTTTAGTGTGATTCTTTTGCAACACAAAGCGAGCCATGTACTTGTAGATTAGCATTCCATACGAGCCATGTCAACATACATTGTGCGAAACATTGAAATGGCAAAACATCAGGGCAGGTGCAAGGGCCATCCCCACTGCTATCGTATGGTAAGTGCTGTAAACTTCCATACACGCACATGTACAAGTAATTCCACAGTACAGATCACACTCAGCAAAGCTGTCCACCAAGTGTGCCTCGCTACAACAGTGTTATAGTAGAGGACTGCAGGCTGACTTACTGCTTGTAGGGACGTAGGGTGTGACGACAGACAGGCGACCATCATCAGTACGGTACGAACAATGACATGGCGGGTCAACTAGAATCAAATGCTCGCGCGCCTCAGCTGACACAACAACAAGACAACAATGGACAGAAACGAAAGAAATGAAATCAATACTTGCAAACAGAAAAAGGCCAATATATCATTGGTATTCATCACTTTGAGGGAAACTTGCAAAAGGGAAAAGTCTCAAGGAAAATTGACGGTCACCATCAGGACTCGAATTAGGGGTCCTCGCTTATGGCCAGTGATATAATTGGCCTTTATACATTGGCCTTGTTAGAGAATGGACAACTCTTAGTGTGAGGCAAGCTCAGATGACAGCTTGCTACACTTGTGAAGTGCCTAAAACAGGTTTTGCTCTCTCAACATTGTCTTTCAAAGTGCAGCTACAGAGTCACACAGGATTTCCTTTTTATAGGCAAAAGATCTTTAGAAACAAATTCTTTACCTCCGCCAACCTGGAACTCCTGCATGTGAGCTGGGCACCGGCGAACAACCTTGGACATATCGTGAGGCAGTGTAAAAACAGGCGTGGCGCGTAACTCCATTCCGAAAGGAACAGGTGCTGCAGGGAATACAAATTGCCACACATCAAAAATCGCCATTAAAAAACAAAACACCACTGTCCACATGCTGACTTCCCTTGACTCAGGACCCAGGAATGCTTATCGAATGCAGCACTAGTATTCTGCAAATGAATGTGCTACCTGTTGACGTGAGTACAGAATGAAATTTGCAACACATTGGAGTTATACCCCAGGGCGCTCGCTATTCACAAGGTTGACTGTAGGTGCATACACCGCTTTTAAAACTTGTATACTACGCAGTACTGTCATATTGCATGAACGGGTAGCAGTCAACCAAATCCTGCTTACAAGTTGTGCGGAATGTAAACGGGCACGGCGAATCTTGGTTTGCAAACAGCTTCTGCAGAGTTGGCGAGTACTTTAGTGTTTGGTAAAAAGAGACAGAACAAAACAAGGGAAGAAGAGAATTTTAAAAGAGAGACACGGGCTCCTGCAAAGTAAATACAACAAAAGCTACAAAACCATATCCTTTCATAGAGTATTGAGATTCCACTGTAACTGCTTCATCTTGCGCACCCCACCACACAGCATGCACACTGGTCTCTCGGCTACAAATTGTAAATATGAAACAGTTTAATTGTCCAAATATTTTATAATTTGCAGCCAACAGACTGTTGTGGGTGTTGTGCGGTGCGGTGGGTAACTATGTCTCGACATGATATCCAGGCCATTTAAGCTCTCACCAGTGTCAACCGGATTGGCGAAGTCTGCGAGAAATATTTAAGTCGGGACTCAAACAAGAACACATGGCTCTTATATTTGTAGCATTCTAGCCCAAATCAGTGCTTTGTATTGCTTTGTGGGGTGCCCGTGACAAAGAGGTATGGTCAATACCGCAGTGACCGTGGCGTGTCCGACACCCCTGCTATCCTCATACCACACAGCAGAATCACCTCCACCAATGGGGGGGGGGGGAAGAGAGTGGGGGGGGAGAAAGAGAGAGAGAGAGAGAGAGAGAGAGAGAGAGAGAGAGAGAGAGAGAGAGAGAGAGAGAGAGAGAGAGAGAGAGAGAGAAAGAGAGAGAGAAAGAGAGAGAGAGAGAGAGAGAGAGAGAGAGAGATGCCTTACAGTGTTGGATGACTTGTTAACAGGCTCCCGTCTCATCTGCAAGAAACCAGAAAAAGAGACAGCGTTACATGAAGTGTCTCAGCAACACATGACCATGCACAGCACTGGAACATATAACGTACAATTGTAGATGGTGATGAGGATGAATCAGCGTACATGTGGCTTCCCTATCTGCATAGCAAGCTCCATACAAGCGTGTGATGTAGTGCATTACTAATTTACAGAAAGAAACTCTGGGCTAAGGACTTCAACCACCCTCGCAAAATACACCACAAACGGCTATAGATTGTTCGAAAGGTGTGTGTGTGTGTGTGTGTGTGTGTGTGTGTGTGTGTGTGTGTGTGTGTTTTTACTACGTTGGTAATACGGCACCACTTTAGCAATGCATCAAGCGTAAAAAAATCTGCTCTTTTTTAAAAATCATGTGGAGGCTCGTTAGCTCAGTGCAAGGACTATGTACACTGCACAACACGTTCTAGCAAAGTCACTCCACTGCATACAGTCCAAACCTGCTCACATGCATTGCCGCGCACAGAAAAAGCGAGCACCATTCGTAATTCATCATAAATTTAGGAACCTGGTTTCTCTACTGAAATTACCGAAATTTAAATTACACCGGCATAACACATTCTACAGTACTGCCAGAATGAAGTTGAATGTGTGTGGGTCCACAGGGTAATAGTATTGATACAGGCTGAATTAGTAAAGGTGGGCAACTAAACAAACAGGCTAGGCAGCGGTAAGCATCTTGGAAAGTCTTTCTATAACGTGCTGAGCTCCAGTCTTACCTCTTCAGAGAACTCGAGAGTGAAGCCGTAATCGCCAGCACTGTTGACACTAATGGTGCACACAGCCACAGGATAACAACAACAACAACAACAACAACAACAACAACAACAACAACAACAACAACAACAACAACAACAACAACAACAACAACAACAACAACAACAACAACAACAACAACAACAACAACAACAACAACAACAACAACAACAACAACAACAGCATGGATTGCAGGGGAATAGAAAGTGGATGTAGCCATGTAACTGGAGATGCTTCAAAACAATATGTACGCGACCCCACAACAAGAAACTAAACAAAGTCAGGTAACGTAATGCTAACTTCAGACCAGCTTTCATGCTACATGTACATGTAATGCCAGTCTAGTGTTGAAACGAATAATCGAATAATTTAGAATATTCGTGGGTGAACGAATAATCGAATAGTCGTAGGAATTATCAGAAATCGAAAAGAAAAAAAAGGAAAAAAACCCCATCTATGCTCGGTGCTGACCCTACTGATATTTGCACTGCGTAGATCTGCTCGTAGTATTTCTTCTCAATCTCTTCTCCTCCAAGTTTTAATCTCCTATCGGTATCTAGAAATACCGTAAAGTACCGTTGATCCGCCCCCTCTCTAATTCCCGCCCCCTGTCGATTTTCTCCTTGTGAAGCGACTTCGGCGTATACAACGAAATACGATGTTGAACCGACGCATGCACTGCTGTACACAATACTTGCCAATCCAGGATCAAAATGTGCACAATCCAGCACATTGAGTCTGATCCTCTACGTTGTTGTACATCGTACTGCACTTGACAGCCTTGATCTAATTCCCGCCCCCTGCCGAAAACCCAGCTGGGAAGCGACATGGCGTGGGGGCGGATCAACGGTACTTTACGGTACTTCTGTTCTTTCCATACGAGGGAAACATGGATGCAGTGAAGATCCAATTACGCTCGACCAAGACCCTATGCAGAGCTGGATCAGGCGTTGCACACTCTGGGGGGTTATGTACTCTTGGCGGTACAGGTTAACCGGTTTTGCACCTCCACATAACAAAATCCGATAATCAGCAAAAAATTCAAAAAAATGCTTAAAAAGTGCTGAAAAAGTGTTGAAAAATGCCATCATGCGTATGATAGAATAATAGATTATTCGTTCGAAGAATCCGTGTTCGGTTTAAACACTAAATGCCACCAATGGCCTGTGCAATTTCTGATGGCTCTGCAGTGCTGAGGCCAACAACCTGCTACAGTGAACCCTGTCTAAGGCGACCACTCAAGGGACGAAAACAAGTGGTCGCCGTGGCCAGGTGGTCTTCTTATCCAGGTTCAGTGGGTCACGTGACCATACTCACTTTTAATATACATGTACAAGTGACATGTCATTTCGATCAGAGTGTATCACCACTGATCACACTGCACACACCTATGCACGACTCAGTCAGGTGCCTGGCTTGGGGGCCTCAGGCATGTCTAGTGTCGTCAAGAGTACATAACCCCCCAGAGTGTGCAACGCCGATCCAGCTCTGCATTGGGTCTTGGTCGAGCGGAATCGGATCTTCTGATGTCATGCGTACACTCCACACCAGCGCAAGGCCGGTCTCGAGGCAGGGCACCATTGTTTTTGATCCAAGAGTACCCGCGACTCCCCGGGTTCCCCTCAGATGTGTACGGTATTATGACGCAAAGATCCGATTCCGCTCGACCAAGACCCTTTGCAGAGCTGGATCAGGCGTTGCACACTCTGGGGGGTTATGTACTCTTGGCGGTACAGGTTAACCGGTTTTGCACCTCCACATAACAAAATCCGATAATCAGCAAAAAATTCAAAAAAATGCTTAAAAAGTGCTGAAAAAGTGTTGAAAAATGCCATCATGCGTATGATAGAATAATAGATTATTCGTTCGAAGAATCCGTGTTCGGTTTAAACACTAAATGCCACCAATGGCCTGTGCAATTTCTGATGGCTCTGCAGTGCTGAGGCCAACAACCTGCTACAGTGAACCCTGTCTAAGGCGACCACTCAAGGGACGAAAACAAGTGGTCGCCGTGGCCAGGTGGTCTTCTTATCCAGGTTCAGTGGGTCACGTGACCATACTCACTTTTAATATACATGTACAAGTGACATGTCATTTCGATCAGAGTGTATCACCACTGATCACACTGCACACACCTATGCACGACTCAGTCAGGTGCCTGGCTTGGGGGCCTCAGGCATGTCTAGTGTCGTCAAGAGTACATAACCCCCCAGAGTGTGCAACGCCGATCCAGCTCTGCATTGGGTCTTGGTCGAGCGGAATCGGATCTTCTGATGTCATGCGTACACTCCACACCAGCGCAAGGCCGGTCTCGAGGCAGGGCACCATTGTTTTTGATCCAAGAGTACCCGCGACTCCCCGGGTTCCCCTCAGATGTGTACGGTATTATGACGCAAAGATCCGATTCCGCTCGACCAAGACCCTTTGCAGAGCTGGATCAGGCGTTGCACACTCTGGGGGGTTATGTACTCTTGGTGTCGTGCATGCACCGTGTATATCTACACTTCCTGCGCTGATGTGTAGAATGGTCTAGACTATATGGTGCATGCACTGATGTGTAGAATGGTCTAGACTATATGGTACATGGAACAGGCCTCTTTTACGACTATGGTGCACAGTGCAATGCGTACATGCACAGCCATGCACTTGCAAGTACACATAAGTACACATAAGTACACATACCGTAAAGTCGCGGATAAAAGCCGGGTTTGCATACAAGCACATTGCGGATAGAAGCCTGAAAATCAAACGGGTGGAATGCATATAAGCCTGTCGCGCATAGAAGCCTGGCTTCTATGCAAGCGCGGATCGGGTGGGCCAAGAGTGCATGTGCTATGTACGGTGCATAGTAAAACTGCCGCCATACCGGTAGTCAGTGGTAGATCTACGCGTGTCACGCGTAGAAGCCTGGCTTCTATGCAAGCAAAGACAACATTCTCCCAGCACACACATGCATGTGCATAGACATCGGTCACAGCTTACTTTGCCGGGTAGGGAGCAGGCACTGATTGGCCCGGTGTCACAGGCATGGACTGCGGGTGTGGTGACGCCGCCGAGGCGGCCGAGGTGATAGTAGACGCCGGCGATGCTGGGCCAGGGCTACCGTAGGCTGCTTGTGCCGGATACGGGTACGGTGTGCCCTGCAGCATGCACACAGGACATGTATAGTTGTATAGGGACTCGGGAGATACACAACACAGGAGATGAGAGACTGCTTCGGCCGTATTGTTGAAAAGAAAAGAAAAAGGGTTTCACACACTGAGCAATCAACAGACAACATTGACCACCAGCTTGTTCTGACCGGGCCTATACACCGGTAGCTAGTGTGTGAGTCAGCATGCAATGGTGGTCAGTGTCATTGGGTTGGACCAAGGAAAAGTCACACACCAGCACAGGCAGTGAGCGCAGCAGGGCAGGAAGACTGTCACTATTTGGTGTGAGAAAGCAGCTGAACTTGATTGTATACAGAGAGAGGTAGAGACCTATAGCTCCTGTCCTGACATTCTCAGTGAGCCAACGTTACAGTCACACTTGCAATACTAACCCCACTGACACACAACAAAGGTGGGGTCCGCATCAATACAGAACCGCTTCAAAACCGTTCTTTTGTCGAATGCATACTGTAAGACTTTTTACAACAGCATGATCTCTCTTTTCACCTCTCCGTACTTGCAAGCCAATTTTCAGTAAAATTTTCAGTAGCGATGATTTTTGTGCGATCAATCGTTGTACGTAGGAAACGTCTTCTCGCTTTTCTGCAATTCTGGCGACCTAGCTAGAACCTGCTGCTAGTGTCCCTCTTCACTCGTTCTTTCTATGAAAGGGGAAGGCAGCACTCGCAGAAGATTTTCCAAGAATGCAAGCTTGTGTAGATTTCCTGCCAACGCCACTGACATCTATTATTATTATTATTATTATTATTATTATTATTATTATCTCGCGACCTTCAAATATAACTTGCTCGATCATCTCCCGTACTGACTGGCAAATTCGTCAGGTAGCTGTGGATGGATCGATTCAGGGAGATCGAAGGTAAATACATCGAAGCACATCAAACACGTTTCAAGACGCACTTCAAATTTTGTAATTGTGTCTTGAAAATTGTTTAACGGTTAGAACAATTCGTACTTCAATACGCTGTCGAATTGTATCCTCTGCTTGGGAGTCTCGACTGTTTTATTGCTTCCTCAACACTGTTCACTGTACATGTATCGCGGAACGCAGATTGGATGGCATTGGAGGTGAATTTGATAATTCGTGACTGTGTCATCAACCAAGTGAGGACATCAAATATCAACAGGGACGCTCCGAAAATCACAAACGCTGCGAAACAGATATGAAAATTTCTTACACACTGGTGGGTATTCCACATTCATTGTGTGTCTTTAGACTGTCCGAAAGTTTGTCGTGCCGTGCAACTTTCACAGATCAATCCGATAATTGGCATGTGGCCCTATTGGCACACACTCATGCGTATGCCGCTGACGGTCTATCTATATGTGCACGCACGTGTGTGTATACATATACAATTTTATTACGTATGCAAAATTAGGCAATCTACGTGTACATATAAATTATATGTGTGTGCACTCACTCCTATGACATAGAACGACAGTGCAGGCTATGTAAAGTCGCACGAATGTGTGTGGTGTGTACATGCATGCTCGCGCGGGCGTTTTGTGTGCGCGCCTGGCATGGCATAACGCCGTTCAACATGACTAGTGTTGAACCGTGGTAATTTGCCCACACCCCCTCTTTTTTTCTTCTACTGGCGTTGGATATGCAACTAATGCCATAAACTCGGTTGTTGAAAACGAGTGCCATGCATCACAATGGATTGACAAGAATAGTAGCACTGTAAAAACGCTGGTAATACTCATGTTGCAGCCATGGCAGTTGTAATTATCTTTCCAAGTCAATCCTGCTGCAGAAATAATTGCACTCTGACCAGCTGGAGTGGCCCAGGACTGCCGGTTGTGGAGAACAGGAGTGATGCTTGCATATACGCTTGCATTTACATGATTGTACTTCGAAGTGACGTTAGGTGTATTACTTGTGTGTTCTTCTGCCTGTGCTGGTCAGTGTGGAACCGCCATCCATATCAGATCATACAGCTGCTATCAGTCTCAACAGCTTATATCTGGCAAATAGTATTTTAGTGACTCGATTTTGCTTACTGTGTTCAACAGAGTGGCATTGCATACACAGCTACTTGATGTAACGTAGCATCTTGGAAATTTTATATTTTTGATAGTTAGCTTCAGAAAGAAACTTTTCCAGTGTGGCTCTTAGCTTCATTACCACGAAGACTAGGCATTCAAGTAATGCACGGAGAACAGTGGCTAGATGTGAAGTGAAAAGCCATTGGACCGTACCCAGTGGAATACGCATTTAGTATAGAAGTATTGCTGGCTATATTGGCAGAAAACACTGTATAATAATTATAATAATTACATTACCAGAAGAAAGTGCTTCATTGCTTCAGCACTATGGTTTGGACAAAGCAGTCAACAAATTCCACATCACTATCGGCTTCATGTTGGAGAAAGTTGTGAAAAACATTAGAGCATACATGTACACTCAATACACGTGCTCAGCTACATGTATGGCATTTCAAGTTAGTATGTGGGCGACTTCAAAGTTCAATTTTGGTAGTTAGCTTCGGTAGAAACTGTCTAAACTTGATCCAAAGCTCTACTTCTATGTTCTGATGATGTTGCAACCAAGTAATGTAAGAAACGTATCTACCGCATTGGAGCTAGTTGTGAAAACCTTTAGACCATCCACTAAATGCACATGCTCAGCTATGGCATTTAGTATGTGGGTGACTTCAAAGTTCTATTTTGGTAGTTAGCTTCGGTGGAAACTGCTAAAACTTGATCCAAAGCTCTACTACTATGTTCGGACGATGTTGCAATCAAGTATTGTAAGACACGTATCTGTCATATGGTGGAGCCAGGGGTTCTAAGGCGCCTGTATTCGATGGTTATGATAGCATAACTATCGAATACAGGGCAAGTCCAGTGTCAAATACTTGTGGGCGGGGTTAATATGTGGGACGTGTGGGCTGAAATGGGATGATTCCGAAAAGAGAAAAAAGGTCACCTTCTAGCAGAATTCTACCCACTTCTACAGTTTATGCTGGTATTTAGCAAGTATACTATTGTCCTAATGTTGGAAATCAAGAAAAATGGGGTAACTACCAGTGCTACGGCCAAAAAAGTGGTTTCCGGTATTTTTTGGCTTAAATTGGCAATTGTGAGTATGATATGTTTGGCCCCTCCCCAGAGTGAAACCGGCCGGTAGAACTTGATAAAATTTTGTCGCCGTACACTAGATATCCTACGGAACAAAGTACAGTCGTTTGTAGCCACGTTTCAAACAAACAAATTTGGACCCGAGGGGTAGGAGGCTAGGAGCCACCTTAAAGTGTCTCCAATTCTAAAAGTTTGAATACTTCAAAGTACAAGTACATGTATCAGTACATGAAGATGCATGTTAAAACCGTACATCAAATGATCGTGTTTATGACGTGCATGTATCAGCTGAACGTAGAGGTAGAACGCATGTTTTTTCTACATACCAACGTCGGGTCCAGCATAGAAACCTCGAACTGTGTTTGTACAATTCCACCTGAAAGGCAAGAGAGAAGTATACACACACAAGCAATAGTGCCGTATCGTAAACAAAACTACAGAGAAAATATCCCAGGCATCTGCACTTTCTGTAAACGTACTTCATCGTCTTTATGTATAAAAGACTTCTTTACAGTGATTTAATTGTTGAAGTTAGCAAGACATTGAGGAAAATCTGAAGAATACTATGTACAGCGGAAAGGGAAATTGTGCTAACGGCAGTATTTACTACACCCACAAACGTGCCATACTGTATGTTCTCTAACAACAGCCCAGTCACCAATACCAGCCCAGTCTCCAATACCAGCCCAGTCACCAATACCAGCCCAGTCTCCAATACCAGCCCAGTCACCAATACCAGCCCAGTCTCCAATACCAGCCCAGTCACCAATACCAGCCCAGTCACCAATACCAGCCCAGTCACCAATACCAGCCCAGTCACCAATACCAGCCCAGTCTCCAATACCAGCCCAGTCACCAATACCAGCCCAGTCACCAATACCAGCCCAGTCACCAATACCAGCCCAGTCTCCAATACCAGCCCAGTCTCCAATACCAGCCCAGTCTCCAATACCAGCCCAGTCACCAATGCCAGCCCAGTCACCAATACCAGCCCAGTCTCCAATACCAGCCCAGTCTCCAATACCAGCCCAGTCTCCAATACCAGCCCAGTCACCAATACCAGCCCAGTCACCAATACCAGCCCAGTCTCCAATACCAGCCCAGTCACCAATACCAGCCCAGTCACCAATACCAGCCCAGTCACCAATACCAGCCCAGTCACCAATACCAGCCCAGTCTCCAATACCAGCCCAGTCACCAATACCAGCCCAGTCTCCAATACCAGCCCAGTCACCAATACCAGCCCAGTCTCCAATACCAGCCCAGTCACCAATACCAGCCCAGTCTCCAATACCAGCCCAGTCTCCAATACCAGCCCAGTCACCAATACCAGCCCAGTCTCCAATACCAGCCCAGTCACCAATACCAGCCCAGTCTCCAATACCAGCCCAGTCTCCAATACCAGCCCAGTCTCCAATAACAGCCCAGTCACCAATACCAGCCCAGTCTCCAATACCAGCCCAGTCACCAATACCAGCCCAGTCTCCAATACCAGCCCAGTCTCCAATACCAGCCCAGTCACCAATAACAGCCCAGTTCGGAGTGGCCAGGGGCAGCTAAGTAATTTGAAAACTCCGTATGGCGGAACACAGATGCGCATGCAGTTTACGTAAGACTTTCCGTAGATCGACTACGTTTTTTTACTAACGTAATTACGTTCTGCGGAACCTCTCTAATAGCCCTACTCCTGACGCCAAGTCCAAGCACACAGCGGTCAACAGTTTCACACAGGCAACAAGGCAGTCCACAGGGGCATCGCCAGCAGCCAGCGTGCCGTCATCAGGTGCTGAGCAAGTACTGCACATCCTGCAAGAGCCGGCTGCAACATAATGGGCACCCGGTGGAATGGCATTTACGACCGCATCTGCCACGCTAGAGCACAAGGATCGTCAGATGCAGGTGACCGCTCTGCTAGATTCAGCGTCCGGCAACTGCCGGACTAACGTTCGGACAAAAAAATCAGGGGACAAAAAAATCAGGTCAAGAGCTAGAGGCGTCTAACCTGCGCAGGATAGGACTTGATGTCTTGAATTGACAACTCGAGTGCATTCGATCAGTTCGAGAAGAAGGTGGTCAAAGAATAATAGTGCTGGTGGTTTTTCGATTAAGTCGTACTTGTCAGTGATTGATAATTGCAAGTTTGATCTCTACAGAAGATTACGCAAGTATTCGAGGTCTAAAGGCTTTGAGTGTTCCAAGTAGAAGGTCCTTTTTCCTTGCGAAAAAAAGTACAGTCAAACCTCTTTAGGACGAACACCAAGGGACCCATGGTATTTGTTCGTAATAACGGGAGTTCTTCTTATCCACATTTTATACCCAGTGAATACGCAGGGATTTATCCAATAGAGCTATGAACACTAGTTCTCCTAAAGCGAAATCAAGTTATCAGTGTTCTTCTTAACCAGGTTTCACTGTAGTATCTAAAGGCAGATGAGAAGAGCTTTCAAGCGGGTTTGTAAGCGCTGTACGGTACAATTCGCTTCATCATGACGTCAATAGGGACGCAGCGCTTTTTGATTGTTTGTATTAAAGCAATGTACTGAAATAGAAACCCTAATCACACCATCCTCAAAGCAAGTGGTCTCTTTGCTGCATATACACTATTTTCTCACTGAAATTTTGGTCAGGAGCCATGAAGTGTAACTGTAAGCAATGTGATCATCAAAAGAAATTCCTTGCAGATATGAAGCGAGAGCTCGCGTTCTCACCAAAAAATGTACCTACGGGTACTCGTAGAATCTACTGGGAAGAAGGAATGACTAAGTATGTCCGGGATTCTTTGAACATGCAGCTAAAGTCGCGATTGCCAGGGCTCAATATAGAGCGTGCATGTTCTGCAAAGTGCGAAGCATAATGGTGGTGGAGGGGGGGGGGGGAGGGGGGTGCTAATCGAGGTTGGATCTTGCCGGACCAACCGGAATGAAGCTGCTATGGGCCCGAGTCAACTGCTGAGACTAAGTCAACACAGCTAGCTGTCCGGTCATTGACTATTACACTACCTCGCCTTGGTCTGGTTTACGTCAAAGCTAGGCCTTGTGCCGAAGCTTGCTGTGTTTATTGATGATTGCTAAGTGTACAAAACTCAGAGTTCTGCCCTATTCTAGTTGTCCACTGCTGCACTGATTCAGGAAACCGTTACGCAAATTACATTACCCAAAACAACTCTCTCCTTCACACACGTGCACACACACCCCACACCACACACACACACACACACACACACACACACACACACACACGCACAAACACACACACAAACACACACCATACACACACACACACACAAACGCGCGCGCGCGCAAAGCAAGGTCTACAAAAACATTGCATTGCAAAGTTAAGCCAAGCTCCACTTCAGCAATTGGCCAGTTGTGGTGTTTGCATGATCTATGCAGCGGGTGCAACCGTTGGGTTTCCCCGGTTTTGAAATGTGTAAATGCACCGTATTGCAAAAATCCTTCCATGAACCCTGTTTGATATGTAAGTGGCTCAGTTGGAGTGCGAACAATCCCAAGAGTTCATGTACAAGTGTAACGGGGAAAAAACCATGAAAAAATCTTTTGAGTAGCAAGGAGTGCCTTGGAACAAATACAATAAGGTCCCGTAGGTTTGCCTTTTGGTTATATCAGGATGCAGTTACTCTGCGCTTGCCACCGCTTGAGATACTGTAAAGTCGCGGATAAAAGCCGGGTTTGCATACAAGCACATCGCGGATAGAAGCCTGAAAATCAAACGGGTGGAATGCATATAGGCCTGTCGCGCGTAGAAGCCTGGCTTCTATGCAAGCGCGGATCGGGTAGGTCAAGAGTGCATGTGCTATGTACGGTGCATAGTAAAACTGCCGCCATACCGGTAATCAGTGGTAGATCTACGCGTGTCGCGAGTAGAGGCCTGGCTTCTATGCAAGTGTGGTGCATAAAAGCATTGTTTGCATACAAGCCTGGTTTGCATTAAAGCCTGATGCAGAAAGCGGCTTATGTGCTTATAAGCCCGGCTATTATCCGCGACTTTACGGTATCTGGACGGTGCACATATTCGATTCCTCTCTCAAGAAAACACCCACACACAGCTAACCCAGACGTGTGCTTTGTCCAAAGGAGCATTTTTTTAATCGTACACCACTCTAAGCTGGTTGAGTTCCTCAACATCATTGTATCCGGTTGTAACGCGGATGTGCGAACTTTACTTTTTACTACATCACTATAACGTCATGAGACTTCGACAAATGGTAAAACAGATTTTTATTACACAAATCCATGTCAGCGGTTTCACCCACATGCGTAGAAATGGAGACTAATTTTCCTGTTTACCTTCATCTTCAGTTTGATTGAAGAGGCTTTGCATTATTCTGAAGTAAAGAAGAGCAAAACAGCTAAAGTAAGCAGGATGCAGTTCAGAGGGACAAGGATGAGTTCGAGAATCGTACGTTCCCAAAGAAGGGTCCCGCTTGAGGAACGGTCTGACATCCAGACCTTGCAGGAGGTCATCCATTGGTAGTGTTTGGTTTTGTTCGTCCATGTCACATTCGGCAATGGAAGGCACTTCTTCACAAGACGAACTTCAAGTAAGTATACAATGGTGACAATGCAATGTATTTTGGGTTCCTTTCGTTTGAATTTTCGTAAATTTAGTTTTTTGCATAATTTTAGGTCATGTGCATATATGACGTCACGACCATAGTGCTAGCCTACAGTCCATTCAGAAAAAAATGAACTTCTAGCTTTTGGCCATAAATAGGTCAAACCAAGAGTACATAACCCCCAAGAGTGTGCAACGGGCATAGACCCAGCGCTCGGCGAAATTCCTACATTACGTCATGCGCAGCTTGTCATCCGAGGTAAATTTGGGTTCTTTGCGATTTCTGGAAACTATACCCTGAACCGCTCCTAACTCAAGGCTGTAGCCTCGACTTTTCGAAGCTTTTTTTGAAGACATTTCGGACTTGGATCTACGTCCAAGTCGTACTTTCTCAAAAACAAACTCTTTCTCCAAGAATCCATGGACATCGCGACAGAAAAGAAGTGAGGACGCTGTTAAAAATATTGCATTGCCGTCGAGGACAATCATTCTGATAGCTGTGCAACTCAGCCGAAAAATGCTCCTTCGACGTATCATCAGTCTCTCAAGTTCCTCAACCATTTGAAATCATCTTCGAGGAAAGCACCGGAAATATGCCGATGTCCTGGGGAAGAAATTGTTCTTGAAGAGTCTGACTGCACTGGTGAAAGAAGAAGGCGATGAAGCCGAAGTCGGCGAAGAGTCACCATTGCATCGAAAAAATAAATAGTTTTGTCTCTTGGGTCGTATGCTTTGTTTTACTTTTGCCTTGCTTCTTGTCGTTGAGGCTCAGACTCAGACTAGAATCGCAGTTTAGGCAGTTTACCCTGGGGAAGCATCCTGGTTTGACTGTAAATTTTAGAAGAATTCATCGGCGTGACTCATCGCACTGCACCAAAAATGACGCAATGAAGGAATTCCGCCGAGCGGGCTTCCATACAGGGACTGATCAGGAGTTGCACACTCTTGGGGGTTATGAACTCTTGGTCAAACGTTGAGTTTTTTTAGAATTTTTTTCTGCAATCCTCTATGGAATCCTCTTCCAATTATGTTTCTGAAGTTTTTTTGTCCAAAAAGCAAGCCATAACAAGAATAGGATTTCGGCCAGGTTTTGCCCCCAAAGCATTGAATTGGGAAAAACCATAAAAATCCAGGCCGTTTGACCCCGTCTGCAACAGTGCATTGTCCGGTTCGAACCCCAGATCAGGTACCCTTTTTGGACCCTTTTTCAAATTTCAAATTTCGCAGCACTGCACTGTGTACGATGAAATCACGAAAAATCGCCAAATACGGGAGCTCGCCAGAGCCAGAGCCCATCTTTTTATGAATGGACTGTAGCTATCCAGCTGCCAGCAGGGCCTACAGCCTTACAGCCTAATAATACAGTGGATTTCCGCTGCAACGCAATCTGGGCCATTCTTCTGGAGCGAAAGCCAAAATTCTTGCGTTGTTCTCCAACTCTGCTAGATGCACATGTCATGAGGCACAAGTCTGCAGATGTGGATTCAATCATTGTACATCTCTCCTTGTTCTACGCTTTGCTGGTGCATGGTGTCCCATCATCACATACATGTATCTCCTCCAATTCAGAATGGCTTGAAAAGTCATGGCCACGTCCAAGTGGCAGCCGACCCAGCAACCATGATTTTGTTAGTGTATGTATTGTAGCACTTGCGGTGGTACCATCCGCGGACGCTCTCCTCGGTGCAGTGGCTCGCGCACAAGAAGGTATAGCTCGTCCTGCCTGCATTTAGCAGCTTCAAACAAAGTTTCCCAACTCTGCAAAGTAAATCGGGTTTGCTTTTCCTGCGATGCATGGAACGCAATGGCACAAGCAAAATTCCCGCGATACAACGCCATTCCCAGGACGAGGCCTAAAAAGCTCCACGGCCTCTTCCTCCATCATGTCAAAAGGTGTCTACCATACTGTGAGCAGTGGGCAGGAGGCACTCAAACAGCGCGAAACGCAACTACCAAACGAAAATGCAATTCTACATTTCAAAGAGTATCCTGTCGGTGTCGTCGTCATCTTCAAAAATTTGAAAAAGGCGCTCCTTTCCGTGAACTGTGCACCCCCAGATGGTGCGCAGTATCGCCAACGAGAGCAGAGGAATTGGCTTCTCCTGAGCTTCTGCCCTAACTCTGAAGATGACAACAAGCGGAATCCAGGTCAGGTATACATACTTTAGGCCGTAGTGAAGAACCCAGGTTGTCTGCTTGAGACTGAAACGGAATTTTTTTTGAAGTTTGGGCCGCTGGACTATACGGGATACGGAAAGGGGCCTCCTCGTTCGACTTCTGTAGTTCTACGTACACTTCAAGCCCTGTTGTTCTCGAGTCCTTGCCGTCGTCAGGTCCACGTCAGCATTTCTCAACTATTTCGCGTACGGGATAGTCGTCGCGCGACTGCCGGGCGCGCGACGGCTTTCTCGTACGCGACATCGGCGTTTACCGAGTCGAGTGGCATTGGCACAATATACAAAGCACTTGAAACTAATGAAAGTAGACCACTGACGGAGTCACGTGTCAAAAAAGTATCAACAAAGTGTCGACAACGTGTCGACCACGTGTACACTCAGCGGTACACTAATTATTATTTAGTCTGTCCCTCCAGGAAATCGCGATTCCACGGATGCAACAAATTTCGCGATTTTGGCCCAAACCCGCGATTTTCAGCAAAATCCGCTATTTCCCGCGTTTTTGTTGTTGTTTTCTGCACTATAATCTCACATTTTTATGCACTTTTCACGCTGTTCCTTTCCATGATCCAGTGTAGGTTATTTGCACAGTACGAGTTTCGTACGACCTGGACTCCCGAGTACTAGTAGTAGATATACGATGCAACAAATTTCCTGATTTGGCCCAAATCCGCAATTTTCTGCAAATAATTCCGCGATTTCCTGGCAAGTTCTGCATCATTCCGCACTTTACGTCGCATTTTTTGTTACTTTCTGCCGCAATTTCTTGCGCAAGTTTTCGAGAGTTTTTTCCGCAAATTCCCGCAGGAACAGACTAATTCTCGTGCTCGTGTCACAAAACTGGAACATTGAGTACCAATTAGGCCCCGGCGGATAATGCTAGTTATTTTCGGCAATTATGCTACTAGCACTGCTAGTAAAAGTGGCACATTAGGCGAGACCAAAATAAAATCGAGATTCCCGGGCAAGACCCATGTGAAATTGGTGCGGGCGGGCGAATTTTTATTTTTATTTTTTTCCTATGACTGTGTATGCGCATATGCGCATGCCATGCAGAGCTTTTTTTTACAGTATTTTCCAGTAATTTTTATTTTTTTATTCAAATTTCGCAAAAAAACAGGCACGCGGTTTACCCGTTCCATTTTCTATATTTCAGCCAACGATGGTCCTGATCTGTACATCAGGGAGTCGTATAAGCTCGGGTTTGTGTGACTCCATGTCACAGATCTACTCACACGACTAGTACTGTACATGTATATGAACTGTTCAAAAAAACAAAAAAATGGCTTTGGCTCGATTTTGGTGCGGGAGGGCCCGGGAATCACCAATTTTTTTGGTCTCGCCTTATGCTAAAGTGTTCGGAAATTTGAGGCCACATGCCACGTACTGCTCTTTTCTCTCCGAAACTCAACACTTGCAAGCCAGATATGAAAGAAAGAAAAAATCATCAGTCACACCACCGGGACTCGAACCAGGGACCTTGCTATTCGCGAGCAATGCTCTAACCAACTGAGCTACAGTATGACTCTTATCCACAGTGATGGTAAATCTATCCTTCTTCGATCAATCCACATCTGGCTTGCATCATACTGGTTTTAATTATAGGTTAGTGCATACCAGGGAGGGCCTTATGGCTTGTTAGTGCCCGACAGGTTAGCCTGAGGGCCGAAGGCCCGAGGGCTAACCTGTCGGGCACTAACAAGCCATAAGACCCTCCCTGCCATGCACTAACTATTTTAGAACGAGGTTACATGCATTATCTCACTTCCATTATGCTTGTGTACCACTATATTGGGTAGTTTTGTGGTTTGTGTGCAGAGAGACTTGGTGTGGTATGAAAGAATATTTTCTTCTGGTAAGTTATGGTAACTCAGCACCACTTAGGACTACTAAAAGTAGAATGGAAGCAAATGAAATGCTGGGCTCTTATTGCGAGCTTCATTCTTATTCATACATGTAGCTTGTGGAGCTATTTAGGGGCTTTGAGAGCCCCTTGTCGATAACTCTAATGACTTTGATCTTCGGTTTTTATAGGTTTCCGCAAGCTGTTGACAAAGAAAATTCGTACAGGTGAAAGAATACGGGAGGCAAAAACCGTACACACTTCTGAATTGCGTAGCTTTTAGTAGTACACCGTACACATTATGCAGAGTTCATTATCTGCACCGTACTATTATGCATACAGGGAGTTGTACGCACCAGTTTAGAGTATATTCAGCGGGCTTTAAACTAATCCAAGGCCCTCGACACGTCATCAAGAGTAGTAAAATAACGATTGAGCGGGCTTTAAACTCTGATAAGGCCCTTGGCGGGAATGTCGCTGATTGGTCGTTTCCTGGACAACGAGACAGACCTCGTTCTAATGCTCGTTATGCTCGTTATGCTCAATTTAATGCCACTTTATATGGGGTCAAAAAGTGTCACGGATCGACTTCACGCAACTCCACTAACAGCAACACCATTAACAGCTGCACAGTCTGGGACCAAGGCAAGAACCTTGTGGCTTGGAACTTGCAGCTGTGTTGACAAAACTGTGATGAGCTCTCGAGCTAGTTCGGTACCAGCTAGGCTTTTGGACAGTACAGAGAAAGGTACGAGGCGTTGGTGTACATGTATGTTGAAATCGCCATCGACGTAGCGGAGGACAACAGCAAGTGCCTCACCAAGGCGTCAAGTACCATCGAAAATAACGGTGAGATGAGCTGCAGATGCAATCTCCTTCTTGATGGTAGACTGCTCATTCTGCAACAGGAATGGCACCAACTGTGCCATGTGAGTGCTGTACGTCATGCGACAGTAGTTGCTTTCAAGCAACGGACGAAGGTGGTCTATCTTACTCAGAGG